CGCAACATATTGGGTTAAAGAAACAATAAAAATTAAAAACTATAATACAAACAGTTTGTATTATAGTTTTTATATTGTATAGAACTATATACAAACATAGTTCTATATATTCTATGAGATTATATATATTTCAGCAAAACTTCTTTCAGCAAAAAAAAAATTTTCTAACTTTTAAAAGTGTTTTTAGTATGCAAACAAACATTACTTCACTAGAATGATAATAAGAAAGTTTTAAAAAATGCACCCTTCAGATTAAAGAATTGTTTAGCATGGTTTGTTTTAAATGAATTGCAAATCCATTCATTTTAACTAAAACTTTGCATGCTTTTGTAAATGCATGTAAAAACTATGCTAAAACATTATTACTTTTTTCAGTTGCGTACTAAGTTAATTAACTTCAAAGTAATGCTATTGAAGAAAGTAATCATTTTTTAGCATGGTTTCTTTTGAAGTCGTTAAAAATGCATTTTAAATTTTAGTAATTAACTTTTTTTTTATATTATAAATATGTATTTTTTATAATAAATAAAAAATATAAATTCCTTGATTAATATATACTTCTTTTTAAGAAATTTTATACGAATGCCAACGTTTGCATGAGTAAAAGTGAAGAAAAATGACATTCGTTTTTTGTCTTTTTTTTAACAAATGTTTGCATGTTCGTTGATTTGTCACACCCTGCTATAGTAACTGGTTAGTGAGCGAGTGAGCCCGGTTGCAAATCATAAATGTTAATGTAACAAGTATATGTATTGCAAAAAATAATTAATTTATTAACGACTCTAAAAACAAAAAAAAATAAAATCAGTACACAAAAAATATTTTAATTTTTAATTTTTTCCATTTTTTTTTAAATTAAATTTATTTTAATTTTATATTTTGCTAGTTTTGCTTTCTTTATTTTTGCCGCAAAGTATTGAAATGTTACAGAAATGTTATGAAATTAACAGAATAAAGCTTGCAAATGACTGTGACCAAGTTGTCTAAATAAAAAACTTTTGAGGATTTGCCCCCCCCCCTCATTTTATTCATAGAATCGATTCTGTATATATACATAATATGGGCAATTCCACAGCTGAAAATGAAAAAGTAGTCTAATTTTATTCTCTTTTTCCTTAACATTTAGCAAATGAATATTGATGTAAAGACATGAAAGTTTATTTAAAATATATCTTAATTAATAAAATTAATAAGTTTAAGTCATTTTTATGCCTCCAAAAGTTACAGTTTTTCATAGTAAAATGTTATTCTAAATATGAATTTATTTGCATAATCAGAATTAAATTAGTGTGAAAATGGAGCTAACATGTTCAAATTGTTGTTGTTTAGATTTTATACTTTATAAAATATATATATTTTAAGAAAATAAGGAATAAACTTTTGCAATTTTCATGTAACGTAAGTTAGCAAAAACATGATTAAGTTTTGTTTGTTATAAAATTTAGTTAAAAAACCTTACAATATTATAAAATTTAGTTAAAAGTTTTTTAACTAAATTTTATAATATAATAAATTTCATAATATAATAAATTTCATAATATAATAAATTTTATAATATAATAATATATGCAAAAGAATATTAAATGTTACATTTTTGCATTTAAAGATTTGAATAACGATGCTTAGTTAGAGCACAATTTTATTTTAAATTTGTGTAACGTAAGTTTAAACTACATACATTGTCTTGCCTGGCGCTTTTTCGTTAACAAAATGTATTATGTCATTAAGTAATTATTATTTCATTGACAAGGTTTTAACTGCAACTTTTTATATTAGGAGAATTTAGAAAAAAATATTTTTTTATGCTAATTAAAATTATTTATATTATCGCTTTTTTATTTGTTTATGTATTCTTATTTTATTTGACATAAATACACATAAATAAATAAAATAAGAATTATTTAAATATTTGTATTTAGACATTTTAAAAAAACAGATTTATTTGCTATTCTCCTAATATAAAAAAATCACTTAAAATTTTATTTGTTTTTGTTTTAGTAAAACAAATCGTTTGTAAATGCAATTATAAGTCATCATAAAGCATGTCACCCTATATTTGTCTGTCACAAACAATCACAAATACCTGAATCCCTCACCCTCCTAAACTGTGATAGCAGTTTTTAATCAAAAATATTTCAAAAGATTTAAATGTAAATGTTTTGCACCATTTTAAAAATTTAACCTAATGAAAATAAGGCAATACGCATAAACGTAAGAAATGAAAGTAAAAACTTCAACAAACCAAAAATTTTCTTATTTAAACGACTAAAATAAGTATTAAAAAGTTGTAATAAGAAAACAATTTTCATAGTTGCTTGGACTTGTTCTTGCGGAAAACTGTTTTTGATTTGATAACTTTTATAAATGTTAAATCACTCAGGAACCAGTGCCACCAGTTTTTTAAAAATTCCTTTGTTAATTATTTTAATGAATAAGTTCAATACCTTTGAAATTATTTTGTTACATAACTCTAACTCAAAATAATAGAAATAAAAAAATCCACAACAACAATCGCAAGATAACGTAAGTAATGTAACGTCAGTTAAATATCAAAAAAAACAGTTTATTTTCCTTACCTGGTCACCTCTGATCAAATTTTATATTTATTTTTAAATAGGCATAGAATTTTTTACACCTTGTGAAAGTTTCTAATAAAAACCACTTTACTGATTCACAGAAATCTGACCTTAAAGTTGAAGCAATTTTTTTACCAAGTTTTCAGTGTAACGTAAGTTAAGTGGCATTTTCAATAATATTCAATTCCTTTTTCAGCCAGACTCTAATTTTTTTTACTTATAATACTCCTGTACACGTTTCACATGTCAGAAGCGATTGCTCCCAATTCATTGCATGGCCTGATATATATATATATATATATATATATATATATATATATATATATATATATATATATATATATATATATATATATATATACTTGTGATGTACTGATTAATCAGCATTGGCCATTTTTTGCACGATCAGAATCGGCATTAGCATCTGCCTTTTTTTATCGATTTTCTAATTGGAATATATATATATATATATATATATATATATATATATATATATATATATATATATATATATATATATATATATATATATATATATATATATATATATATATATATATATATATGTATATATATATATATGTATATATATATATATATGTATATATATATATACATATATATATATATACATATATATATACATATATATATATATACATATATATATATATATATACATATATATAGTCTTCCAATTACGGCTAAAAATTACCTAACTGCCAAACTTTTTTTGCCAACCTAGTTCTGACCTCTAAAAGAGGTTGGATGTCAGCAAATTATTCCCAACCTCATTTTTTCTGATTCCGAGGGCTGATATATGCAGGCTTGGTTGGGAAGCGGGAGCGATCACTCTCGCATACTGACCACGGAAATTATATTTAGTTGCGAAAAACTGGCCAGGTTTTTTAGTCGTTTTGAGAACATTTAAGTTTATGTACAAAACAAAAAATTTTTGTTTTACGGACATACATGGAAACATAATAAACTTGAATGTTCACCAAATATCTTTGTGCGAAAGAATAAAAAGAATATTCGCGAACACTAAAAACCCGCCAAATTAACGAAGAAACTAATTCTATTGGTACAAAAAATACGCTTACTTAGCGAAATAAAGTTCTAGAGTATTCTGTTGAAATGTTTTAAAAAATGTTTTAGAAACGATTTGTTACGTTTTGAGATTTCTAGCATAAATTGTTTTAAGAATAAATATATTATTTGTTTTCACCAAATATCAAAAATAAAAGTTTTAAATATATATTAAATTGTCAAAATGTTAAAAGTTTATTATAAATTATAGATTTTATTAGTATATTCTTATTTTTTATTTAAAAAGTATGTATTCTTTATGTAAATTTAATTTTGTTTATTTGTTTTTTATCGTAATGTATCTTTTAAAGCAATATTTACGATTTAAACAAAGACTTACAAAAATATTTGCGTTTTCAATGAAGTTATAATCGTTATAGTTAATAAAACTAATTACGTAACAAACATATAAGAAGTTTCTAGTTACTAAACACAAACAACGCGTACAAAGTAACTTGCAGATGAACAAGCACCGCGCCCAAGGTCACGACAGAACACAAATATATATAGCAAATAATTAGATATAAAGAAAAGTTACTAGATATTGGTTTACTAACTCTAATTATTTTCGCTTAAGTTGCCATTCTAAAAACTCGTTTTATTTTTTTCTGCTTTAAATACTAATTAAAATTAAAAAGCCCACTCACTAAACATCACCAGCGATATTGTGAAGCAATTTCGCTTCCTCGTCATAAAGTATTGTTAACCTTAAGTTGACTTCTATATTGTTAATTTAATTTCTATGATTTAATGGAACAAATAAATAAAAATAAAAAAAAATTTTTGTTAATATTTAAGACAATATTTTTAAAATCTTTATATTTTTTGAAAGATCATTTCTGATCATTATATTGGATCTGCCACCCTTGAAAATGGCCTAGTACAAATTTAAAAATATCAAATATTTTTAAAGTTATGTGACTTGAAAACTTTAAATAAATGTTGCATATCTAAGGGGACAAGAGGGGCCTGGCCAGAATCTGCTAAAAGTAAAATGGTCATATTTCAGGATCTTCTTGGAGCCAAAAGCTGAAACTTTCAAAGAACTCTTATTTTAATAAGTACTCTTAACTGTATGAAAATCAGTAAAATCTAAGATATAGGGTGACATTATAAAATATTTCTGGGTCATTTGACATAGAAGTAACCAATGCCTAAAAAATCATCATAAGCAATTATAAATGAAGCCATAACTATACTCACAGGTTTAATAGAAAACAAGATAAATTTATAAGATTTTAATATACAGCAGATATAACTTAATATTCATATATTAAACATTTACATATAAAAATTTGTATTCGAAAATTAAAAAAAAATAATTACATAACTTACGGTAAGACTTTTTTATGACATTTTCTTGATTGTTACTTTGTCTCACAATTTCATTTAAAATTAAATCCTTTTCACTATTATTTTTCATATCAATTGCTACTTTGTTGATTTGTCTTTCAACTTCATTCAAAATAAAGTCAATTACATTGTTTATTTCCATTTTATTTCTAACTATTCTTCTGACTATTCTTCCATTTTACTTCTGACTATTTTTATTTAGATCACATTTAGATCATTACTTACACGTTACCTATATAAGCATTATCTTATATGCAATACAAATGTGCTTCTATATCTTATATTTAATAAACATGTTTCATAAAAAAAATTTTTGGAGTAGCGAATGGAGTAGCGAATTCGGGCATAATTACTATCGTTACTCCGTAACGGAGCCGGTGTAGTATGAGATTATTACTCCCGCTTTTTTTTTACTCCCCAGTAAAAATCTCATATTAAATTTTTACTCCCCAGTAAAAACCGCTTATTAAATTTTTACTCCCCAGTAAAAATCTTATATTAAATTTTTACTTCCACTATGAGATTTTTACTCCCATAATATTACGCGGCAAAATGTGTTTTGCGACTTGGTTGTATTTTGAATTTTTATTTTTAATGTTTGAAAGACAGTTGTTTTTTAAATAGCAATAAAAAAACGATTCCCTTTAATATGAACATTATTTTAAAATATTGTAGTGTTTAAATGAAAAAACAAGAGCCGATCCAGATCATGTAGTAAGGGGTCATCAATAGAAGACGTCGTCCAAATAGGGTTGGAGGAGGGGTTTGAGATAAAAAGGATGAGAGAAGGGAGGTGGGGAGGTTTATAGAAAAGGACTTCATTTTATAGATTTTTTTAAATGTGTTTTTATGAAGGTAATGTTTAAGAAAATTTTCAAATTTATTTTTGAAAGGTGTAGCAGCAGATTCAAACACCATTGCGAAATGAAATAAATTTTTTTGTGTTTGAAAATAGGGGAGGGGCAATTTTCAGATAACGATTTGTAAGACAATATGTAATGTAAAACAATTTTAAATTTGCACCACGTAATTTTATTAAAATCTTTTTTTTATTTAGATAGCCTAACTATATTACTTCCGTTTTCAAACAAATTGCTGTTTTTAATATATAAACTTACATAGTACAAGAAAAGAAAAAGCAAAAATTGAAATTAAACAGCATTATTTAAAACTCGTAAAAAAAATACAATTGTATATGGACTAGATTTTCAACTATTAATCACAACATCAAAGTGGAACCCTGTTGAATTGTCTAAAAATATAGAATAGTCACTTAACTTATTAAGCCGTAAACTGCATGGGTAGATCATCCATTTTGTTTTCTCTCCATATTTGCTGTATACTTGAATATCTACTTCCATAAACGAAGCACATCCAATTATCTCCGCATCAGTTGCCCATGTCGCATCTTCAAGCATCCTAGTTTTACAAATATGCGTTTGAATTGGCATTCTCAAATACACAATCATTTCATCATGTATTTGGTTACACATATGGTTAACAACCTTGTCTCTAATTTGCTTATGTTCATCCTCACTTCCTGTTATGATAAAAGAAACTGCTCTAAAAAAGCAGTTTCCATCTCCTTTAATTCTATGGAGTCCCTGAGGACAAAGAGTTAGGTTTATGTTTCCTACGGCGACATTGTGTTTTCAAACAATTTCAAACTTTTCTGCAATTAATTTTCTCATTTCAAAAGTTGCACACTTTGCTATTTCTTTGTCTAAAACATTTACACAGCTTTCATGTTGAGTATTTATATATGACTTGCTTGATTCAACGTCTTTGATAACTGGTTCATTAACAAATTATCATTATCATTTGATAATTTGTTAACTTCTTCTATTTGAATGCTTCCATTACTAAGTGTTTTTTCTTTGTACAAGGACAAACTTGTTAGATTGTACTTTTTTTTCAATATTACATTTTTTTCATTTTTTAAACTACAGTTATTAGTACTTGAAATATTAGTTACCGTGTATGGTCCTATCCATGGCTTAGCAAGCTTTCCACCTTTTCTGTCATCACGTTTATGATTTCGCAATAAAACTTTTGTTCCTATAGCAATACTATTCTTTTGGTTAACTCTTTTGTCATAGTCGCGTTTTTTGCCTTACTTGGGACTTTTGGATGTTTTTGTAAGCTTCATCGAAAATACACTTCTTCATTTCATTCATTTTATTGAATGTTTCCAAAATTGCTTTTTCGTTTTGGGAATCGTCTTCAATCAGAGTAGCATTATCATTATAGTCAATTAGGTTCTGATCTATATCAATCGGCAGAACAGGTTCTCTTTGATAAAGTAATTCAAACGGTGAAAATCCAGTTGATTTGTGTTTTCTAATTCGCATTGAAAATAAAACACCGTCAATAATAAATGGCCATTCAAGAGCAGCATCTTCTAGCACCTTTACCAATGTTCGTTTTATTGAAACATTCTGAAACATAGGCTGTAATGTTTTTTATCATACCAAACCAAAAAAATCTCTTTTTAATATGCTCTGTTGTTGAATTGATGCCTATGTGGCCAGTTAATGCGTTAGCCTCATTAGAAATATCATTACCATCATGAACAGACTTAATTATATGGTGTTGCTCTTCTTTGCACCAAATAACTTTTCTCTAAAAAAAAATTAAAGATGCTGTCATAAAATATATATATATCGCCTATAGGCGATATATATATATATATATATATATATATATATATATATATAATATATATATATATATATATATATATATATATATATATATATATATATATATATATATAGATATATATATATATATATATATTATATATATATATATATATATATATATATATATATATATATATATATATATATATATATATATATATATATATATATATATATATATATATATATATATATATATATATAGATATATATATATATATAGGCCTATAATGAATAGCCTATGAATATTATTAATAGTGCGCATAGTTACACGTATTGTTTTATAGTTACGGTACGGTTCTGTATCTGTAAAATACACTTTTTAAGTAGTTTCTAGACTTTTCTTTACCGCGTGCATACTTACAGATTTCCCTTCAACCTTTCATGGTACGAGTTCAAAATATCTAAGTTGACATTAAGTAGATAATGTTTAGTAGCCTAAAATTATAGGTAATCTAAATTTTTTTTTTAAATTTAAAAGTAATTAATTTATTGTAATCTTTTTTAAATTGTAATTTTAAATTTAAGCTTCGTGTTATAGATTACTTTAATTCTTAATTTGTGTCTAGCGTTAAAATATATTTATGGGTAGTTTCATGCTTTCACTTAGTTTTGGTTATTGGGAAAAAAAGCCATGACAACATTTTGTTATAAATTTATCTTAATTTAATTTTTATTGAAAATTTTGTTATAAATAAAATTTGTCTTTAACATTGTTAATACTTTAGCTCTTTGAAAAAAAATATGTTTCTGGCTCTTCAATAAATTTAAAATTATTTGTCTTGCATGAATGAATTTTGGTTTAGGATTTAATTGTGTTAGTTTATGTTTGTCTATCTGTAATTTATTTAGGTTATTAGACAATTCATGTTAACAGAGTTGTTATAAATCATAATCGAGTTGTTAAACCAAGGAAATTGTGGAGGTTTATTTATCATATATACTAAATATATTATATAATTATATTGGAGGGAGTAAGTTTAGAAGCCTTTTTAAATTTTTAAAAAGAAATAAAAATACTTTTCAATATATATCTGTTTTCTTTGAGGTAGAATTAAAGTTTCAGTTTTTTAAAACTTTAAATTAACTTTACTATGTTAAAATGGTTTAAACGGATTTTTGTAAATGAATTTAATCCTCAAAGATTAAATTTTTTTTATTATTGAAGAAAATAAACTAGATTTAGACTTAAATGTTTGTTTGTTTTTCTATTTAGATGATGACAATATTGAAGCAAGTAAGTTAAAAAGCATTTTTAAATTTTTAAAAAGAAATAAAAATACTTTTCAATATATATCTGTTTTCTTTGAGGTAGATTTAAAGTTTCAGTTTTTTAAAATCATATATATTTTAAAATCCTATATATAACTCATATATCTTTGTTTTTCTATTTAGACGTTGGTAATAATATGAAACAAGTAAGTTATAAAGCATTTTTAAATTTTTAAAAAGAAATAAAAATACTTTTTATTATATATCTGTTTTCTTCGAGGTAGATTTAAAATTTCAGGTTTTTTAAATCATATATATTATAAGATTTACAAATGAGTCGACTTGAATGTTTGTTTGTTTTTCTATTTAGACGTTGGTGATAATATCGAAACAAGTAAGTTATAAAGCATTTTTAAATTTTTAAAAAGAAATAAAAATACTTTTCAATATATATCTGTTTTCTTCGAGGTAGATTTAAAATTTCAGGTTTTTAAAATCATATATATTATAATATTAAATTCTTTTTTACTTTAAAAATATCTATATTATAGTTACACTGAGTCGTAGAAAAAAAAATTAAAGTTTATTAATAAGGTAGTAGATTATTAGAGTAGATTAAATTGTTTGATCTATTAATCAACTTAATAACGTACTATTAATATGAAGATTTATTTTGGTTGTTTGTTTGTTAAAATTTAGTTAGAGTTTATTTAAAATTTAAATTCTTTAGTTAATCAAGAGAGATCTAATAAAGGTATTAATTACATTAGTTGAATGTGGCATTTAATATGTATTTTATCGATATAAGGAATAAAATAATAAGGAATAGAAAAATTTTAAAAATTTGCTCTGGAATTTGTCAAAAGAGTGTTGTGTTATGCTTCATTTTAAGGTATCTAAATATATATTCATTAGAAATTTTTAATTTTGTTTTTAAATGGTTTATTCTTTTTCACTACTTTAGATAAATATATACTGACTGACATAACTTCATTTTTATTAACAATGTCGTGCATTGTAGTCTGCATTCTTTGTTACATTAAAAATAATTGATGCTAATAAATGTTCTTTTATAGTTGTTAAAAGTTTGCATATATGTTTGCATTTATATTATGATCAAAGTTTAAATTTTTTTGATAAATACGTGTATGTGGTGATACTACTCAGGTATCACCGCAGCTTATCTCTATCAGGTACATTGATTTTTAATTTACATATGATGTTTTTCTTTGTATTTACTTATTCATTACATTTTTAACTTCAGATTTATGGTGTATTTATTTGCTATAGAAGAACAAATCATTTTGAATTTTTTAAAAATATCTACACCAATCAACATTTAAAATTCAATGTAGCATATACCAGCTTCTAGGCTTTTTTGATGCTTTTCTTATTCAAGTGGTTTCATAAGCAAGGTCTACAAGCAAATTTGAGATACAAAGTTTTTCAGCTTTCAAGGAGTATCAATGTTGTTCTCTGTATACTTTAATTTGTTTAAATAGAGTAGTTTTAGTAAATAAATGTTTGTTTGTTCTTGGTTTTTTACTTATTTGTTATCAGATTCTTAAGAATTAGGCAACTTAGCAAGCAAGATTTATTTTATTTTTTAGTGCAATTGGAAAGAGCTTAAGTGCTTTTTAGTTACCTCAAATCATTTGTTTTTATTTTTTAAATAGAAGGGTTAATAATAAAAATATATAGACAGTCGAACTGTTACTGATTTGAGTAAGTTTAATTTTTTGTTTAATTTTATATTAGATATATATTTTATGTATTTAACATGAAAAACTGACTGTAATTTTTGACAGGTGAGTTTATATACTTAAATGTGCCTATATATCGGAATATTTTATATTTCTCTGAATCTATATGAATATTATCTCAAAGAAAAAATTAAGAATAGAAAAAATTTGAATATATATACATACATATATATTACTTTAGACTGACATTGCTTCATTTTTTATACAAGATTCTGCATTTATTATTTTTGTGCATTAAGATTGATTGTGCCTGAAGGCTTTCTTAATTTAGCAAAGAATTTAGAACACAATGCAAATAACTTTGCACTGTGTTCTAAATTCTTTGCTAAATTAAAATAATGTAAATAAATTTTGTTTTATAATTTTCAGTTGTAAAAATATAAAACGTTCATTTATTTAGTTGTAACAGTAGCATAACCACTGGTAATATATATTTAATGATAACAGATTTATAATATTAGGCTCGAAGAAGTTATTAGTGTAAATGGTTATAGGTGACTTGAAATTGTTGTCATATGAAAGAAATAGATCTAGGCATGATAAAATTAATTGTCGTTGAAATATAAGAAATTTTGCTTGATGAACCAAAAACTTACTTGGCAGAATTCAGTGTCAAGCGCTGTTGATGTCTATTATTTGACTTTACATTAGACACTTTAAAGCAAAGTATGAATTTTACTATTTATAGTAACAAATAATAAAAATTTCAGTTTTAAATGATTTTTTTTTTTTTTTTTTACTTTTGTAATCTTAATATAATTGTTCATTTTTTTTTTTAGTTGTCTTTTTCATCACTTGATTATTTTGCTTACTGTTGAAACATGGTTTTAATTTTGTAAATTTAATATGATGTGAAATTTACAATATTAATCATTTGTCAACAGTTAGAGAGAAGCTGGAAATAAATTAAGAAATGCTGGAAATTAACTTTTAGTTAAGGTAAAAATAATTTTGTTTATTGGTAGCATAATAAAACCAGTTACTGTTATTTATTGCATGACTTTTTTACTTTTTCTAACATGGTTTTTTTAAAACACTTCCTCTCTCTCTTAGATGAGACTTAAATAAGAATTAGTATTGAGAATTGTAGAGAGAGAATTGATTGGGGGGTCGTATGGGTTGAATGGGCGGTCGTAACTAAAAACCTTTAAAAATATGGAGAATATTGTAGTTTTGCGCATTAATATTGAGTTACTTAAGTTTTATTTATGTGTTTAACTAATTAGTTAGCTTAGTCTGTATTTGCAACACTTTTGAGGAAAGAAAGAAAACATTTTTATATAAGTAGATCATTGTTTTACATTTTAATATTTTATTTTATTCACCAGGCCACCATTAAAGCAAAACGAGGGAAGCAACCTCTTTATTAGAGCCAAAATATTTAGAAAAATTAAATTTCGAGTTACAAAAGGAATTTTTAGTAAATGGTGGCAAATTACCGTTTACTAAAAATTTAATGAAATAAAGAGGCCAAATAAATAATATACAAATGGTCTGTGTTGAACAGACTTAACAAGACCCGGTTCGGGTCAGCTTGGTTTACAAATTTTTATGTCTACTTATCTCTTATAATTTTTATTTTAGTTTGTTCTATGATGCATTAATGTATTAAAAAATTTGTTATACCTATGTTTGATCGTAAATTAAATTTTTTTTTGTTTGAAAGGTATTTATACTCAGTTGCGTAGTATAATAAACTTTGTTATTTTTTATAAATTTATTTAAACGTGTGCATTTAACATTTTTAAGTTAACAATTTTCTTTTCTAAAGAACAATTAATAAAGGGGATAACAAAAAATTGATAACTCCTGTATAATATAAGTTAACTTCATTTTAATCTTAATGGTTCGTGTTATAAAAATTATTTTAAGGATTTAGTTGACACTTTCGTCAATTTAAAGTATAACCAAGTGTTATTATTTTGCGTCAGTAACTAAAAACGTATTATGTTAAACTTAGGAAGGTCGATGAAAATGGTTCTGCCTTACACTGTTATGACCTGTGCCATTTGTAAATTACTTAATAATGTTAAGTAGTAATTGTAAATGTTAAGTAGTAGTTGGTAAATTATTTTACCTCCTCATAATTTTTATGTTAATTTTACAGATGGATTAATTTTTTCAAGCTGAAGGCAATTTTCTAAAAGGGTATTAGTTAAGGTTTTGCAAGATTAAATTGTGGAAAACAGCTACTATAAATTAATTATGTAACAGACCGACCAAAACCCGTATTACGGGTTGCCTTTTGCTAGTATTTATTAAAAGAGTGCAAAGTGGATATTTTTACAATTACTGTGTTTTTCCTTATCACGGCAGTATTATACTAGTAAAGTACAAGCTTTTTATTATTTAATTATGTAAAACATGATATTATTATATATTACGTATTATTATTACATGATACATTATTAAAACATGATATTATTATGTATTACGTTATTATGTAAAACGTGATACTTAAACACATACATAAAAATGTATGTATTTATCGCAAACCACGCTAGTATAAAAAAACTCTAATTATATAAACTGTTTACCTTAACGCCAGATTTACCCAGATGATACAGCTCATTATTTTCAATTACAAATGGTTTTGTTTTTCTTCGAAAGTTCGACTTATCGCCTTTACTAATAGCTGCCCAACGGGCATTTGTTGGTTTAAAATTGGTTTAGATCACGTTTAGATGGCATTTACGTTGATCTAAACGTTTAGGAACCAATTCTAAACGTGTTCTGAATATTTAATTTGCGTTGAAAAGCTAAATCAAACGATTTCCGTACGGAACTAACTTAATTAAATTATATTCGCACAAAATGTGTCGGACATTTTGAATCTTTCATTATGATTAAAAATTAGAATTTCTTATGAATTTTAAATTATGTAATAAATGCTTAAAAAAAGATAAAAGAAATTTGTTTTTAGTATTATATTGTGGCTAATGAAGCGCCTTAAAAGTCCTGTAAGTGCTTCGATAATGTTGTATAAGCGATTAAAAGTAATTTTAAGTACAGTAACTATGTATTTTGATAATTCTTTTAGTTATTGCTACTAATATAGCAGTTTCAAAAAAGTAGTAGCAGTTTCAAAAATGTATCAGTTTCAGCATTTTTTTAAATTATTTCTTAAATTGTTTTTTCTGTTTGGTTTTTAACAACGCTATAGAACGTCTATAGTTAACTCTTAGCTTCCTAATTTTTCTACTTTTACTAAAAGTAGAAAAATTATGAAAAATAATTACCACTTAAAGTGCATTATTTTTTTCTAAAAGTTTTAGAGAAAAATTATGCATTTTAAATGGTAACTACTTTTTAAATAACTAAACAAAATTATTATTTTTGTTTACATTAAGATAGGTACGCCGATATCCGCGTTTTACGGAACCGATAAATGTGCTAAAATTCTGTGCCACGCTTTTTTAAGTTCACATTTGGAGAGGTAGGTTGTGCAGTGTTTTGTTGCCTTGTTTTTTAGAATTTCATATTAACATAGATATTTTTTAAAAACTAGAATGATTATACTTTATTAATATGTGTCTTTTGATTACTATTACGTACTTTGTAAGTTGATTTATTGACATACAAAACTTTGTTGTACTTTGTGCATCCAGCAAATATTGAAGATATAGACAGCAATTAACTATCTTTTGCAGCCATTTAAGTTTACACATTTTTTATTTGTCTGCCAAATTTCGTTGAAAAAAAATGGGGCGCAGGCAGTCTATTTTGGGGCGCACTTTTGGTACCTATTTTCCTTAATCTGAAATCATTTGCGGGCAAAGGGGGGGGGGGGTGCAACACAATAAAATTCTTTTAAGTTTAACAAAATAAAACTTTGTAAACTTTTTATTAATGTTATATATTACTTTTTTTTAGATAAAATGAGTGAAGATATTAATTAAAAATTAATCTCTTCACTCATCTTATCTACAAAAAATACTATTTGCATAAAAGATAACTAATAAACAAATTATTTGTCATTTATTTGTATATTGTCATTCAAATTATTTCTATTTGTCAAATAGAAAATGAAAATAAAAATTTTTTATAATCATACAATGAAATTGTATGTGTATTGTAGTAAATGGTAGTATTTATGTGAAAAGCTATTTACAGGTACTATCTACACTGAAAGCTATTTACAGGTACTATCTTCACTAATTATAGACATTGTAATGTTTTTTTTTTTTTTAATAAACATTTATTTGAAAAATATTTTTGTTTTATGTTTGCTTCAATAGCTTTTTACAACAAAATTGATTAAACTTTTTTAATTTACCCGTTTAGTAGTTTTTATAATACTTTTAATTGTTGTTGGTTTCAAAATACTAATACTAACGCAAGAAAAGTGTAATTTTAATACAATTAATTTTTGCTTAATTTTCAAATAGTCTATTGGGCTACATGTTTACTTTTTGGTCATAACTATGTTGTATGTATATTGATATAACTTTTGGTTTAGTTACATATATTAATACCATTTACAATTTGAAATGCAATTTATTATATTTATTGATATTGTCAAAAATATATATACAATTATTTTTTTTTTAGATTTTTTTAATATTAAACTAATATATCTCATGGTTATTACTTAATATGGAAATATTTTGACTTGCAAAATTTGTACCAGTTATTCTGAGTGGCAAACAGGTACTGTTATTGTAAGTGTCAAAGTGAGTGGTAAGGATCATTTAACTTTTTTTTAGTGATATACATATTTAAGACAAATAAACTTTGAACCTTTTATTTAAATATTATTTTTTTAATTTGTTTTACATTCCTAAATTTATTAACAAACTCATCAGTTGTAACTATTTAATGCTTTAATGGTATAATGGGTCGACACATATTTAAAGGAGAATTCAAAAAACATTTAATTAGTAATTTTACATTGCCATCTAACACAAATATTGGGTGCACGAATGGAAACGTTCTGTTTCTTTATACTAGCAATGGTGAGTTGTTTAGCAAAACAGTTGCATAAGTCAATGAGCATTTTAACTTGAATATTTGCTCCAGTCATATCAAAAAAGTAGTGTACATAGCCAAAAACTGGTCTAAAAATTTTTTAAGAAAATATGAAAGTTGTGTTGCATTTTGTAATGAGCCCTTTATAAACCGTGAACCACTGATTACAATTTTATCGCAGCCTATCTTAAGTAACACTAATTACACAATATCACATTCTTCTGTTTTATCATTGTCAGAATACAGCAGTGTCACATCTCTGATACGTAATGAACCTTCATGTTCTGCTGGACATGAAGCAAATTTAACTACTAGGCAGACTTCAATAGAAAAATTGAGCCCTAGGAAGAAAAAATTAACTAACCGGTTGTCTCATTTGTCTTCTAGATTATATGTAACGAAGTGGATCATACAGCTTTTTTATATTCAAACTTTCACTTGAAACCCTTTGAAGAATGTCGTCGTATGGTCATATCAAATATTTCAAACACAATGTCGGACAGAGTATCTGTTAACCATCTTACAATTAGAAAAATTGGTGAAACTTGGGGTAAAAGTCTCAATGAATTAAACTGTCAATTGCACCCTCTTGACACAATTGCCACATCGTGTCGTTCAGCATTAAAGTCTCTAGAGCTTGATAGCTGCGAATTATATGGAAATGATTGTATAGCTGCAAAAATTGTTTTGGCTATGAATAAGATGAGGTTCAAAGATGGTAAAGGTGACCCAAAGGGATTTGTTAATTTTTTAGACAATAATAAACTACCACGAGGTATCATTCCAAGGTATCGTGGAAATCGCCTTCACATTCTGTTCCACACTTGTTTTATTTTTATAAAACATTATAACAAATTTTCACATTTTTTAACTATAGGAACAGTAAAAATAAAAACTTTACAAAGGGTTCTGCGAGTAGCATTTTGTAATACAACTGCTATAAAGCAAATGTGTCTACTTGCTTTATTTGGAAAACTTCTTACAGGCCCGTGGATGACAATGTTTTATGTGTCATCTGAGAAAGCATATTTTGATCATGTTGGTGGTATCCAGATTGTTAAAAATGTTGTGCAAATAATTAAAGACTGCAAATGCGATCCAGCTGCAATATTTTGCAGAACAACAGATTTTTTTGGAAATGCTCTCAAAGCAAATGTGTTAGAACCATTAACAAAAATATGTAGAATTGATGACGAGCTCATTGCCATGATCTTGGCTTGCCTCAATGCAATAGAAGTGGTTTTAAATCGACAGTATAAGCGCTATTTTTCCATTACCATTACAGAAGCACTTGAAAAAGAAAACTTCATAACATAGATAGTGAAGAGTTAATGGGAATGATCAGTGCTGCAAAAGGAAGATCTCCTAATGCATCTATTGATTATATATCTTGCAAATTACGAACCAAAAAGAATGGGACAATGGATTATCTGGATAATCTTGATGACTTTTCTAGAAAAATGGTAGTTCAGTCGTCTATTCAGGCAGCACGTAAAAAACGAATTAAAACTCGACTACAACATACTGAAATTAGAGCTGAGATTTCTAAAAGACAGACTATAAAACGCCAAAAAATTGATGAAAAAGAAAAAAGAAAGTTAGAGCAACAATTAACATTATTAACTATCAGTGAAATTCTGAATTTGTTTAAAAACTTATCTACTAAGCAAATTGATGATTTAAATGATGTTATGTGTGAAAGAATTGTTGGGAGAAATCTTTGCCATGAATGGTATGATTCCGATACAGCAATGACAGTCTTGTATAATGGCAGAGTAGAAAAACTTAAAAAAGCTCAGAAAGATATATACACTATTTCTTATTGGACTAGAGAAGAAAATGATACTGAAGCAGTTGATTATTATATGAAAAAATTCCAGCTAGTTGCTGACATTGTATCCGGTGAGTTGATGTTTTCCTAATGTAAATATGTTGCATTTATTTTTTTTTATAATTAAAAATGCATTTTATTATCTTACTACTTTATTTTACTATTTTTTGACTTTCTATCTCTCTCTCTCTCTCTCTCTCTCTCTCTCTCTCTCTCTATATATATATATATATATATATATATATATATATATATATATATATATATATATATATCTACTATAGTATATTTATATGCGCAATTGCTCACTTTTTTTGCTAGCCTAAATTAAGTGAGCAATTTTAGAAAACGATGAGGGAAAACGAAGAATAATGAATGAAAATGTTGCTGACCCATACCAAACCCTCAGTCGATGTAGCAACACTCCACGGCGAGTCAGGCTATTTGTCAGTCGAGATATGTACTGAAGCCCCCGGCAGCAGGCTATTTGATGTTAGGTGGTTATGACATCATCATGCTCACCTAAGTCAGCAGTATAAGATATATATATATATATATATATATATATATATATATATATATATATATATATATATATATATATATATATATATTTATATATATATATATATCAATAATATGCAAATCTATATATATCAATAATATGCAAATGTACAGCGAGAAGTGCTACTTGCAAAAAAAAAATATAGCAAGTAGTGGAACTTGCAAAAAAATATATAGCGAGTAGTGGAACTTTAAAAAAAAAAATATAGCGAGTAGTGGAACTTGCAAAAAAAAAATATAGTAAGTAGTGGAACTTGCAAAAAAAAAGTATAGCAAGTAGTGAAACTTTGCATAAAATATATATAGCGAGTAGTGGAACTTGCAAATTTTTTTGATAGACGGCTCTGGCTTACGTTCATGTTGTGTCTATTGTTAACAATGATTAATATATAGTTTCATTAATGGAATTTAATATCTTAACCATTAACTAAAAGCCAAGACGCAAACTAATTAGAATAATATTATAAAACATTTTTTGTTTTTGAAATTCTTTTTTAGGTCAGAGGGGAACCATCTATAACTATCACAAAGCATTGTGTGGTGTATTTTGAGTTTTGGTAAAAGATGTTTTTAAATTAAAGTGTTTATTTTAATTGCATTTAAATATTTTTTCAAATCTCATTAAAAATAGCTTCTTTTTTTTAGGTTGTCAAAAAAAAAAGGAAGAGGGGGGGCATCGACACGCCCCCTCGCCCATCTACACCCTTGAAACAAAAGGTGCGCTGCTAGTGATTTTTTAAAGTAGTAAAAGATAATTTTTGATTTGAATACTAGATTTCTTTTTAATTATAAAGATAAATATTTATATAAAGAGTCATTTTTGATAATAGGGTGTATGAAACCATCACCCTTACATCCACCCAAAGGCAATGATGAGTCTTCTATATTTGATTGTGATCTGATAGCTAATTACAAAAACATCTTGCATATAAAAATTTACATTTTCATTAAAAGAAAACACTTTTTTATAAATATAGTAAGTCTTTATTGCCGGTAAGGATGGTGGTTTTGTGCCCCCTCTTACCCCCGGATGCGCCCATTATCTAGAAACTTTTATAAATTTGTAGATGACTCTTGTATCTATCTTTTGATACCAAGATATAATCATTTGGATAAGAATTAGTTAAGTTATAATAATTTTAGTTAATAAAAACTTTATTTTGACCACAGTTTCTTCAACAAATCCTAATATCAAAAAACTGGTACTTAAAACGTCATAACTTTTTGTAGGGTGGCTCAATTTTGAAAATTTTTTCACTTATAGAATATTGACATTAAGCTCTTTTTAATGATATATAACAACCTATAATTTGATGAATTTAAAATTTTCATGTGACATACCTAATTAAGAACTAACATCTATTTGTTTATTTCATAAACAGATCAATATAACATCTTTCATAAATTATGATAGATGTTATATTGATCGAATAGCAATGTTATAATATTTATACTTTTAGTGCAGACAGTGCCAATCAAAAATTGTGAGGTTCAAATATTTATATAATGGAGCTTTAGTTTTAGTGTAGGCTTTTAGTGTAAACTAAAAAATATTTTTAAAAATTTAAGTATTATTTATACTCCTATATGATAACCACTTAAGAGAAAATAAACTTACTTATGTCTGATATGATAGATTATTATATTGTATCATTTATTTTCTATTTAGTAGAAAAATTAACATGGCTTGAACAATAATATATATATACTATATATAATATAGCTATATTATATAATTTTCTGAAATCCACGCAAATATATTTTTTATTGTTAATTAAGTTTTGCGTGTTTAATTTCATTTAATATTTTATATACAGTTCAGTCAGTTGCAACAACAATTAAAGCAGCAGGAAACAACCAAGTACACATGCAAGTGGTAAATTGATTTTTTGTGACGTTTTTACTCCTTTAAAGTTTAAATTTTCCTAAAATAATAATTAATGTAATGGCTATTTCTGTAAAGATCATTCTGTAAATAAAAACTGCAGTGATTTTTAAAACTAATAATTATTTTTTTAGTAATCACAAGATAAACTGCAAATTCTGTTATATTAGATATGATTCTAATAGTTGATCATCTGTCAGATGTTTACTTTTTAAATCATTATCTAATTGCTCAAGCTTATGAAAAGTTATTTATAAAAATTCAACGTATAAAAATAATGTAAGATTAAAGGTAATTCCTGTTATATTTGAAAGGTATGTTGATGATCGGTTCGAGTTTTTAAAGTTTAAATTAGTTAAAAGAGAATTCAAATTGTTCTGTTTTTATCTTATGCTCTATATCTAAAAGCTATTGTAATATTTATTGCATTATTTTTCATTTATTTTATTATGTTATGAAAGACCTACCAAGCTTGAAATTTTACTGGTTGAAATATATAGTATGTATATGTATATCATCCCTTGGAATTAGGAAAACTAAAGTTACCAAAAAAAGCTAAAAAACTAGACGACTAAACTTATTTTTAATTATTATTAATTTGTAAGTAAACTTATTAAGTTTACTTACAAATTAATGTTATGTGTTGATGTACCTTCAACCAAATTAGTGTTAACATTTTAGCAAAATGCCATATTGCCAGGCTGTTTGGTTGGAAGAACCAAAAGCTTGATATTTTATTGAGTTGTTATTTTAGTTTGTGATATTATAATTTTTATTCACAAAATGTTTAATAGTTTACTTTTTAAATTTATTTGTCATTGCTTTGGATAAGATGTTTTGTTATTCCTTTTACAGACAATGAGGATTGCAAAAGTTTTAAATATCAGAAACTGAAGAAGAAATTGATAATTAGCAGATAACAAAAAAGCGCAAAAGTACTGATTATACAACTCTTTTAAAGGTTTCATTTTAATTTGTTAATGTTTATATAGAAACTAATAATATATAAGCTGAAAATAATAACATAATTAATCCATAATTGTGCATTATTCTAATATAAATTAATTTTTTTTTCAATTTCTACAGAGTTAATATTACTAGTTTACTAGTTACTAATGCAATAACAGTAGAAATGATTATGGAAAAATTAAACTAAAAATTAAATAAATTGCTTGTTAAAGCAAATAATATTATATATATATATATATATATATATATATATATATATATATATATATATATATATATATATATATATATATATATATATATATATATATATATATATATATATATATATATATATATAAAGCAAGTTTTATTTAGTAAATGATTAACCATTTTTATGGTATAGTAAAATAGTTTTTATTTTTCAGTTGAGGAAGAATTTTATGTGGAATGTTAATGCAAAAGGTACAAATATTGACAGGTTAGCTAATTTGATGTTACAATAAACATGAAATAAAGTTTGTGAAGACCTTAGTTCCAAAAATACTTGCATGCATTATTCATGCATGCTATATTATAATATAGCATAGATGCATTCAAGTATAAAAAAAAAGTTACAAATGTTTAATTATACAAAAAGGTTATTTATGTGGTACCGCAAGTATATTCAATTGATTATGTAAGTATGTATGTACTTTACATCTTTGAAGACTAATAATAATTGTAATGAACATATCTCAAACAATATACACTCGGATTTACATTTTAGTTAAACCATCGCCACCTCCACAGCCACCTTATCTCAAGCATTTAATTGCATTCTAAGTTATCTTTATTCAAATCAAGTGTGACTACTATACCAAAAGACTGTAGAATGGGCCAATCAAGTAAGATGTCAAAATTTATATCTTTTATATAGAACTCTTTTACTTTTAGATAAACCTGTTAATTTTATGACTTATGAACATATTTAGTAATGTAAGCCTTTTAGGATAGACTTTTTAAAATCAAATTTACAATGTTTTAGTAAATTTTTATTTAAAATAACTTTGTATACATAATATATCTATATAGTTATTTACATTGTAGCTAACCCATCAGTACTTGCAAAGTCTTCTTTTCTGTAAGCCCGAAATTTGAGTTCTAAAATACCATTATCCACACTACTATTATATCAAAGCACAAACTAATGGATTGATCAGGTTATACTTAATTTTTACCTTGAGTTGCGTGTTAGTATGTATATGATTTTGATATATATGTTTTAATTATTACTAGCAGTAAGCAACCCGTATTACGGGTTAGTAGTAGATAAATCATTACTAAAAATTTGATATTTATTTACTTTCCCTGATGAAATATTAATTTATTTATACATTTTTTTAGTCGAGCTCACTTTTATTTTTCTTGGCTTCTTAGTTTAAGAGAACATTTAGCTTCATTAAAGATAAAGTTAACCATTTCTTTTGCAATGTTCAGACATTGAATGCGCAAATCACAACCATGTAGTAATTAAAAATGACTTGAATTATATGCACAGAACATCAATGTCAAATTTTCAAATTCTGCAAAATTGTTTAGGTAATTATTGGGAATATATTCTACTTTCAATTTTGCTTTAAGCTGAGTCGTTTCTTTTTTTTTTTAACTTTTCATTTTACTGAGTGAAGAGCTTAAAAATATGTCACTATCGCACCTAAACTTTTTAGTGTTATTAATGTACTTTTTAAATATTTTTAAAACATCTAAAATATTACACCAAAACTTGTAGGCATAGATGTTGGATATCCGGAAAAAAAAGTTGAAAAACATATTGCATTTCTGAAAAGGGCTTAGCCCTGCATACGGATCCTATATTATTATGATAAAGATTATTTATTATTAAACCAACTTTTTTTTAATTAGTAATCCAGCAGAAACTTGTTTATAAAAAAATAATAAAGGAATATATGGATTTACTTTAATAGCTAACGTGTATCAACATATTTATTTCAGCATACATCCAATCCATATTTATGCTAATTTTATAAAATGACCGGAATACATTTTGCCTTAACTTGGCGTTAAATTATTATTTTTATTTCATTAATTTTTGTATAGATCAGGTTAATAATAAAAGCAATTGGATTTTAATCAATATTTTTGAAGTAATTATTCAGCTTTAATAAAATTGATAAAATCATATAAGACAGTTAAAAAATATATTTAAACCTTTGTTCACTTTTTGAAAATCCGTAAAAAAGCAAGTATCAAGTTTACATATCTTTAAAAGAAATTTATTTACTTGATATATAGTTAAATATGTTGAAGCCACCATTTACAGCACCAAGGAGCCAAGCATAGCCTATTGTAAAGAAAACCATATCAAATAATTTAAAATATTTATTACCGATAGGGACGACAATTAAACATATTTAGAAAGCTACGTGATTCCATATTAGTAGGATTGTTATAGAAAAGTATATTAAAAAAGTATATTTAAAAAAAAGTGTATTAAATAGAAAACAGATTTTTAAAAACTACCTAATTTTGTTAGCATTTTGCCAATGGTGTTCAATTTTGAAACCAATATCTTGAATTGGAAAGCCGAATTGTTTAACTAATCTCATTCAAAGAATAAAATTATTGACACTTAAAGAAAAAGAAAAAATGAATGAGATATAAACAATCGAACTATAGTATTATATAGATAAGTAGATATATATAAAAAAAAAAACAACAACTGGAAAACAGTATACCTGCTTTTGGTAACCTATTGTGATACTGCAGCAGTTGCTGCAGGGATGCAGCTGTTCTTTTTGGTGTTGTTCAAAAACGTAATTTTTATGTTGGCTTTTAGTAAATTTAAAAGACATCACAACGGATTTAAAATACTCATAATAAAAAAAGCAAAACATAAAATGCTTCAAGGAGCCAAACTATAAATATAAAAGATGAAGAATGGAATCGAGATAAATAAATTGTATTTATATAGCTAAATATATTGCCTTGGGTTTTGGTAAATTTTAAAACCAGTGAGTTCAATAAATGAAACATACCAAATAATTGTTTTTAACAAAAGAATGCAGCATCATTATATTATGATAATTAGATAATGAATCAAATCAACTTTCGACTTTAGATTTTAGGGAGGGGTATTTAAGAGGGCTTTAAATTTGAAGTCAGGTTTAATTGGTGAGAAAACAATTAAAATTTTCATTAAAAAAGATCAAAACAAATCAAATATACAACGTAATATATATTTAAAAAAAAAAATTACAAAATTAAAAGGAAAAACACCGAAACAAAAAATTACAAAATTAAAAAAAAAAAAAAAACGAAGAAAAAGCAGCAATTAAAAAGTCATAAATATCTCTACTGATAGAAGACATTTACAACCTTTTGGTTGCTGTTTTTTCTTCGGTGTCTCCCAACACCCCGGTATGGATGAGCCCTCCATTTAAAGGTGGGCTTATCCATTCCGCCATGATCTTTCCATTTTTTGAAGGACCTCTCTGAGAGAGGTCCCGGGTGTTGGGAGCGGTAATTTTTGTATTCTTAGAATGATAAGGAATATAAAGTTACAAATAGAATATAATAAAAATTATACATTTGCAATTATTTAAAAAAAAAAATAGCATAAACTCACCATTTTCATTTGAAACAAAAGATGCTAAAAAAAAAAAAAAAAGAGAGCAAATTAAAAAAGGTTAAACATGCAACATTTTGTATTTTAATAAATATATGGGGCAATAATGCAACCAGTTCAAAAGTTTCATATTTATTAATTAATTTTTCCACCTATTGCACATATTTCTCCATACAAAACATATAAAATATAAAACACAGCCCTACCAGCTATACTTCCACCAGACACTAAAGACAAATATATACTTAAATAAATATAAAATAATCGATAAAATAATGTTAACATATAAATATATACATATCTAAATAATTGTTTTACCCATCCCCCTCATTTCATCCATAAAGTTGTCTAAGAAAAAAATAACTAAAGCTAAAAACAAAACTATAAACTAAACCAAAACTATAAACTAAAGTAAACTTTAAATCTTCTAAATATTAATGCTTTATTTATTAAACTAATCATAATTTATACTTAGTTTTTGTTCCAACTTCCAAAAAAAGAAAGTATAAAATAAAGCTAAAGAACTTGATTTTTAAAAATTCCACTGGCAGTACAAATAAACAAATTCCTATTAGCAAATATCTAATAGCAAAAACACTGACTTATTTCCTTCTTCACTTCTGTATTGAAACAATAAAAGCACTTTAATGTTTAGATGTTAAAATATCGATAAAATACATATTAAATGCCACATTCAACTAATGTAATTAATACCTTTATTAGATCTCTCTTGATTAACTAAAGAATTTAAATTTTAAATAAACTCTAACTAAATTTTAACAAACAAACAACCAAAATAAATCTATATATTAATAGTACGTTATTAAGTTGATTAATAGATCAAACAATTTAATCTACTCTAATGATCTACTACCTTATTAATAAACTTTAATTTTTTTTCTACGACTCAGTGTAACTATAATATAGATATTTTTAAAGTAAAAAAGAATTTAATATTAAAATATATATGATTTTAAAAACCTGAAATTTTAAATCTACCTCGAAGAAAACAGATATATATTGAAAAGTATTTTTATTTCTTTTTAAAAATTTAAAAATGCTTCTAAACTAATTATATAATATATATAGTATTATAATTATATAATATATATATAGTATTATAATTATATAATATATATAGTATATATGATAAATAAACCTCCACAAACCTCACACTTTCCTTGGTTTAACAACTCGATTATGATTAATAACAACTCTGTTAACATGAATTGTCTAATAACCTAAATAAATTACAGATAGACAAACATAAACTAACACAATTAAATCCTAAACCAAAATTCATTCATGCAAGACAAATTATTATATATTTATTGATGAGCCAGAAAAATATTTTTTTTCAAAGAGCAAAAGTATTAACAATATTAAAGATAAATTTTATTTATAACAAAATTTTCAATAAAAATTAAATTAAGATAAATTTATAACAAAATGTTGTCATGGCTTTTATCCCAATAACCAAAACTAAGTGAAAGCATGAAACTACCCATAAATATATTTTAACGCTAGACACAATTTAAGAATTAAAGTAATCTATAACACAAAGCTTTAAATTTAAAATTACAATTTAAAAAAGATTACAATAAATTAATTACTTTTAAATTTAAAAAAAAAATTTAGATTACCTATAATTTTAAGCTACTAAACATTATCTACTTAATGTCAACTTAGACATTTTGAACTCGTACCGTGAAAGGTTGAAGGGAAATCTGTAAGTAAGCACGCGGTAAAGAAAAGTCTAGAAACTACTTAAAAAGTGTATTTTACAGATTCAGAACCGTACCGTAACTATAAAACAATACGCGTAACTATGCGCATTAATAATAATATTCATAGGCTATTCACTATAGGCGGATGATTGTTACTAATTTCTGTTTTATCAAACACATTTTATGAATTTAAAATTTTTAACGTATCCCTACGGGCATTTTTGGAGAAAAAATTGAGAAAAAATTTAAGGAGGGCCTAAATAATTTATTAAGGCCCAATTAACCGTTTATTAATGTTAATTATAATATAAAACTAATACTCAATATTTAATTTAAAATGAAAACATCTACTTCGACCGAACTTTTAAATATCATCTCATAAGTTCGGTCATACGGAAAATACGGAAGAACGGCGGCCATGTTTTTGCCAAGCTAGCGTATGACATTCACGAATTCAAGTAAAAAAAATTAAAAGAAAATGAGCACAATAATATTTTCAACAGAAATATATTTTTAAAAATTAAACCTTTTTATGTTTTATTTTTTCAAAATTATTTTTCGACAAAATTATTTATTTATTTAGGAAATACCTTTAAAAAAATACACATCAAAAAAGTAATCAATCAATCAATTCAATGAGTAATCAAAAAGTATTCAATGAGTAATCAAAAAAGTAATCAATCAATCAAATCAATCAAGTTGTAATCAATAAGTAATTTGAAAAAAGCTTTACAGTTTATTTTATAAATTAGTTGAACCTAAACCTTTAGTGCCAATGCATGCATTGTCATACTCTTGCTGCCAAGTTCACAAGAACCTTTTTTAGTTTTTTTCTTTTTACATAATAAACGCTTTTTTTTAAGGCTAAAAATTTTAAGTCTGAATGTTATAAACCTGTTTTTTAGCTTTAATTTAATTTGATGACAACTAGGATACAAAGTTAGACTTTTAATTTGTTCATCAGAATTAATTTTCTCTAAAAGCATAGTATTACAATTCTTTTGGGAATTAAGGTATGACTCGAATGATCTGAATATTAACTTCATTTGTAAAAAGAATGCAAATGTTGTTTCATTAGCAAAAAATAAACTACCCACTTTGTGCTCTTTGTCTGTAACAAACTTTGTGTAATCAACATTAACTCTATTTTTAGAAACTAGAGATTCAAAACAAATTGTGCAAACTTTTTCAATTTTTTCAACTCTGGAAATTATATAACTTGCAATATGAAACAAACAATTTTGCTCAGCATTACTTAAGATTAAGTTAGAGGTTTTATCCCAATCTTTAGGTAACAAAATGCTCTCTCTTTGCTGTGGCTTATGCACCTTACTATTAACTATATCAAGAAAACCAAATAAGAATTGACGGTCATCTATATCATTACTGCCTTTTGATGATTTTTTCAAGAATAGGGCAACGCAAATAAGTTTCAAGTTATTTTTAAATTGAAGAGCAGTAGGAATTACTTGTTTTGCACGTACCAGGGGAAAAAGATTCTGCAGGCAATCCTGCGTAAATCATGATGTCATAAGAAAATCAAACTTTTTTTCTAGAAGAAACTTATTTTGCAAGTTAATAACTGATGTTGTTGATAATATAACACCAGATTGAATAGCTTTCCACCTTATTTTTCCAGTTTGGCCTAATATTTTTAAACCATTGAATATCTCTATGATTTCATTTAAAAAAGTTATTGTTTCATTGTAAACTTTGTCATTTTTCATGCTAAGAGCCATACCTGGGTTTCGTGAAGTCATTAATGTAAACCATTTATCAACAATTCCTATAAACCAAGCAGTTGTGAGAATAGAATCATCTTTTATTTCACTTGCAATAAATTTTAATCCACAACTTACATCATGATTCATTATAGATGTTACTCTTGATACTTTCATTTTGTTGAAATGTTTTTCATCAAGATGTTCAGATGTAAGCTTGTAAGCAAACTTCAAACCCATACCTTCTTGAAAGTCTACAAGCTTGTTAAGGTGTTTTGAATCTATAATAAGCGATTGAAGTTTATATTTTTCTTGAATCTTAGCTGTTATTATAAAATGTTTGTTATATAAAAGAGATGTTTTTATATTTTTTAATAAATGTGGTACGTCTGCTAAAAAATCAATTGTACGAGTAGGGTCACATGGGTGTTTAATTGAACTAGAAATACTGCCACTTTTAGTACAGCTAATATTAAAAGATTTCCACATTGATTGGTTAATGGCACCCATATCAGAAGTAACACTATTAACTTTTAATCCTATTTCTTCAGTATACTTTATTATAGATAGGGCAATGTTTTTTAAAACACCCCCATTAACAGAACTTCCAGTATCATAATATGCAACAGTTTGTTTCCATCTTGTAGATATTGCTCCAAGCTTAAAACTAAAGCATGATTAGCTTGGCCATAATGTTCAGGTAATGTAACAACTCCATAGTAATAGCTTGTAGATGTGTCATAGTCACTTTCAGTTATTGACTTTTCATCAAGAATTAAAACACATTCTTTTTCATGGATTTTTATGGCATTCACCTTAGTTTTCATAAACTCAAAGACTTCTGTTAGAATGCCACTTTGAAATTTTAGATTTTCTAATCTTCGTCGTAGGGTACGTAATGATGGGTATGGAAAGTTTAAATGAAGTAAATTTTCATAACCACTTTGACAACATGTAAATTTGGGTTCTAACGCTTCATTTATAGTATAATTTGACCATTTAATGAATTTCATATTTTTTCTACTTAAGGATAAAATTTGATCTTCTTTAAATATTGTTTTCAAAACTCTAAATTTATCTCTCTTCATATGATTATATTTTTGAATAGTATTTATTCTTCTTTTCGATTTTAAAATGTTAATTTTTTTTTTTTTTGATTAATGACTTTTTTTTCTAATCTCCAATTTTGCATTTAAATCTTGTATAAGTAAACTTTTATCAACCTCAGTTGTGCAAAGTGATTTAGATACTTCATTGTTATTTACTTCAATTAAAATATTTTCCACAACTTCTCCACTTTCTATACAACTTATTTTCTTTTTTTTTTGGTATTGGAAAACGCTCGAGTGGATTTTTTTGCTTATGTCTTGCTCTAACATGTTTAAAGACAGTAGGAATTGCATTATGTTTGAGTTTTCTTGATCCATCTTCTCTGGTTTTTTCCCATTGATCAGCATCAAAGTGTATCTTAATAAAAAAATTGAACGAATATAATGTATTTGTATGGATTCTAAAATAACTCATTTCTAGGATTAATTACATAAAACTGTATTTTCTATGCTTACTTCACATAAAGAGCTTGTGTTTGTAGGTATCCAGTTAAGTCATTTAACTTTAGAAGTCCAAATCGCCCGTTGTTTTTCATTTCTTGGGAAGCATTTCATAATAAATCCTTTCTCATGCCTGTAATGGCAGCCTACTGCAGCACAACCAGGCATACTTTTAAAAATATATAATACAAATTTAGTAGTAGACTTTATTCGCAGTTAGTATTTTTGGCATAAAGATGGCGTCTAAAATCATAAAAATCGAACAACCAATCAAAAACGATCACACGTATGTCCGCTCTCTGAGTATATAGGCTCTCTAAATAATAGTTTTGTTAAAAATATATTTATATAGTATATAAATACTAATAACGCATCACAAACATAACGTCACAAATAATGAAAACTAAGTTTTTTTGTAAAATTGTGAAATAAGTTTAGGTAATACCAGTAACTAAAGAGGGTCTGTTGGGCCACCAAAGAAAACAAGAAGGAGCACATAAAAAAAGGTTTTTTTAATATAAGAAGTAGTAATTTTAGTTTTTATTGTAATTAGTCAACTATTTTATTACTTTGGCCATTATCACATTTGCTACGTCACTGGTAAAAAAATTAAAAAATATTTTTCATTTAATTTAAAAAAGTTTTTTCAATTAATAAAAAAATACCACTTTGCTTTAAATGAGCTTTGTATGTTTATTGGCAATTCTTGCACGTATTGTTGACCAGGGCCGTATCTAGCATACAAAGACTTGGGGGGGGGGGTGCAGTCGTCAAATTAACCGACAAAAATTTTTCTTGTTTTGAAAAAAGGATTTTTTTCGGAAAAATTTTCAAAATCATAATTGCATTCTTAATTTACTACCTGTAACACGTTAAAAGAAATAAAATATATTTTTTCTGAAAGATTATATAAATTTTACAATGCAAATGAAATTTACAGTATTTCAAAAGCATATACAAACAACAACAAAGTTAACGTATAAAACGCAAAACTGCATAATCAATTATTCAATTTGAATACGTCTTTGTGTTGTTATAGACCATTTTTTACCAATACGTCAAGATCTATATTGTCCACTAAATCTTTTTCTGGCGCCAACAAAATTAATGACGCCAATCTTGCATCTGACATAGTAGAACGCAAAATATTTTTAATAATTTTTAATTTGCTAAATGTTCTTTCATCGCTTGCAACGGACACTGGTGCTGAAGCCATTAGCTTGAAAGCTTTGAAAACTCCTGGGAATATGTTTTGTCTTTGCCACGACAGTTTTAATTTTTCATTGTTTGTTGGAGCATCAGATTTAGTAAATGTGTTCATAAAAATTTCTAACTCTGCATGAAATAAATGAGCATCTGTATTTACTCCATTATTTGGCATTAATAGGCACAGTTTTTCGACATCTTTTATTGTAAAGGTTTTTGTTGACTGCTGAAGAAGAGAAAATGGTTCAATGCTCAACCATGAAGCCAGTAAATTTTCGTTCATTTCGTAAATAAGACAGTCTAACACGCAATTAAGTTGTTGGGTGTAGTATTGATAGATATTTCTAGAACATAGCGTATCAGGATTGTCATCATAGCGTTTTGGAGTTACTCTTCGTCTATGACGATCTTCGTATATTTTTAACGCATCGATTTCATACTTGCTACATATTTTAATTGCTGCATCAATTTCACAATGTACTTCAAATTCTTCTTTTCTATTTCGTTCAAGAGATTGTATTGTAGACAATACAATCATTCTAGCATCTAAAATGTTCAACTCAACTTTCTGCAACTCATCAGTAAGAATCTTTGTTTTTGCAATGACTCCTTTGATAAGCATAAGCATAATGATAAAGTCTGGATTCACAATTTTTTTAAGTATTGCTAAAGCTTGATCCTTTGTTTTCTTATCAAATAAATCGGACTGACTTATTTCATAAAAACATTCAACAATAGATTCCATTCTTATTCAAAATGCTTGAATGGATTCTGAACGCGCTGACCATCTAGTTTTTGAAAGATTGCGAAGTTTCAAGGAATTTTCAATAAACTCAAGTTTAGAATTAAGTAAGCTGAATCGTTTAGTACTTGAAGAAATAAATACGTAGCACATTTCAAGAACTTCAAAGACATTTGAAGTCATTTTATTTCTTTTAACATGCGTTCAACAAAAGTATTAGTTCGATGAGCTTGACATGGAATATAAGGTACAACTCGTTTTAACTTTTCTGAAATTTTTGCATGAACTCCTTTAATGTTGCTGGACATAGAGCTGGCGTAATCATATCCTTGAAACACAACACTATTGACATCAAGTTGAAGGTTATTGATTGTCGATTTTATTAAATCTGCAATTCCATCACCCGTTTTGTCAGCTACCTCGCATATCTGCACAATTCTTTCTTTAATATTACAGTTATTATCCACATACCTTACAGCATTTGCTAACTTATCACTGTGTGACACATCAGGAGTTGTATCTGCCATAATTGAAAACATCGATGCTTGGTTAACTTCGGAAACAATTTTGCTTTGAACATCTTGTCCAAGGAAATGAATAAAGTCGTTTTGGGATTTAGCACTCATATATGTCAAATGATATTTTCTAAGTTTTATGTTGCTCAACCATCGTTTAAGTACCAAATTATGTCTCGACATAAAATATACCAACTGTCTAAAATTTCCATTTTCATCCCGATCATCTCCACGAAACGCGATTCCTTGCCTACCCAATGTTCGAGCCAAATCAATAAGAACTTTTATAACACACTTATTAGACTCCATTTCTTCTTTTTCACTAATAACAATTTGTCTTTGTTTCTTGTCCAAGAGGAGATTAATATGTTGAGCACTATTACAATAATTGCAATAGTCTAATAATGAAGCTTTATGAGATTTTGATAAAAAATGTTTTCCTCTTTTACCTTTCTTTCCTCGACTCTTCATTTTATGCCACGTGCGGATACCGTTTTCAACCCAAGCAACATCACTATTCTCTCTACCTGGTCCATTTGGAAAGAGACAGCATACATAGCAGAATGCGCTATCTTTAAGTATGCTGTACTCTAAGTGAGGGTATTCTTTGTACCACAATGATGAAAAACGATTTTGCTTCTTTTTGTCAATATCTTTATTGATAGGAAAGTTATTAAGTTTTACTTGATGTGGTCCAAGCTCAAATAGATAGTTTCTTAGATTATCATTTTCAATTTTCGAACGCTGGCCAGGATCATGCGAAGGAAAGAAATTTTTTGTAGTAAGTGTTTCAATATTATCATATTTTCTTTTGTTTAAAATGCTTGCAAGAGCTTGGTCATTGGCATCCAAAACATTCTCTTCTGAAATTTTTACCTCAGAAGCAAGCTCTGTCATTTCAATGAGAAGTTTTTCCAAATGTAAATTGTCTGTATTTTTCACTTCATCTAGTTTTAATTCGCACTCACTTAAAAGTTTACACAGCTTTGCAAATTTACCCACCGAATCTGAAAAAGTAGTTTCTTTTTTCAATAAATTAACATCAATCGGTTGGGATTCTACTAACAGAGTTTGATCACAGAAATCCAAAATTTCAGGCACTGCTAGTATTTCATCATTAGTAATATCAATGTTTTTACTCTCATTTATTAACTCACATTCAATTTCAGATGATTCATTTTCAATTGCTTCAGAGATTTTTGTCAGATTTTCATTGATATTCATTTCCACTTCATTTGTAATGTTGCTTGGGCAAAGTTTTCGGGCATTGAAATTAATTTTAGACAAACTTATTTTGCTGCACGATTGGGAATTTATTGCCGAATTGGTTTCAAAAGGGTTTCGTGGTGCGCCATACTTCTCATAAGGTATCCCTTTATGGTTTCGGATATAATCCAAATGATAAATTCGATTATGTGTCATCCGATAGTCATTATCAAAAATTGAATGTGAACAGTTCTTGACTTTGTATCTTTTAACACCAGGATGTGGCATCTTGAACCCAAAATCTAAGATAATTACAAATTAAACTAACAAAATATTCGCCTTAAAAAAATATATAAATGATTTAATAAATTTTAAACTTTTTAAAATTTTATTAGTAAATACGTAACTTACAAGTATAAACAAAATAGTTTATTACTTCTTTCGCCAAACTTCCAATACTAGTACCAAATTTCTAATAATAAAAACACACCGCTAACTAAACTTTGATTTCTTCTGTGCAAACATCAAGTAAACAAGTCTCTTGATTGAGATTCTTGCTTTAAAGTAATTAGAAATTGTTGACTAATTACGTAACGCAATTTTTGAGAATAAAAAACGGCAACCAAAAACATGCTTAGCTGAGTTTTATTTGTTATACGCGTTAAATTCCTAAAAAGAATTAGTTTTTTATGCTTTGAAAATTAGCGTTAAGGATGATATAAAAACATTTTTGCAATACAGAAACAACAAGAAAATAAAAATTTTAATATTTTGTCGGTTAAATAGTATAATGGTAAAGTTGTCGGTAAGATTACAATTTATTGTAATCTTACCGACAATTTACCATTGTACTGTTTAACCGACAAAATATTCAAAATCTATGGGGGTGGACACCCCCACCCCCACACCCCCCTATCGGTACGGCCCTGTTGTTGACCATAGTAGAACAGCAAGATCCACAGAACAAATCGTCACAGGATTCGCAACGCGTCCATAATTTTCGGTGCTCTGTTATTTTGTAGGTCAGGTCAGGTTTTCCTGCTACTGGTAACATGTAACCCAGTACAACCTGCTCCATGTCCTGCTGCCTTGTAGGATACGCTTTTTTAGGCAAAGGCTAGGAGAAGTTAACTCCGAATTAAAACACCCCCTGCCTTGGGGCTCTTGGTTGAGTAAAGGCTAGAGATGGTGTCTCGATAAAAATACTCATCTTGGGCAGATGTTACATGCATCCAGCTGCTGTCTTGTAGAAGGCCTCCTAGGCAAAGACTTAAGGGGTAAACAGATTCTATCTGTTGACCAGCCTCGCACCCCTTCCTCATCTATTAGGCTGGCGCAGATGTATTTTTAATACATTGTTTCCAGTTTAGGATGTTGAACGCTGGATCTTCTTGACTCAATGCGTGGGTATTGCTTGTGTCTCTATTTTTATGACTGGGCAACTCATTCTATTATCTCCTAATGAGGGTACAGCTCTAAAACTCAGTTTTATGGTTCTGAGGCCGGCTGGTAGTCAGGTTTCCCGAACTCTGTGGTAGCTCTCAGAGAGGCTGATTCCATCAACAGCCGAAAAATATCAGAGTACTAACAGTGCCATGTTGCGCATGGATGGTGTCCCTGTTTGTACTTTTGGTGTGCATTGCAGAGGCCACATTTGGAGCCCTTTGTTACGGCTTAGGGTTTATTAGTAGTAATGAGGCTATTGCTTAGTTGTTAAATAGTGTACTAAGTACTATCTATACTTGAGTCAAGTTCTTTATAAATTTAAAATGACTAAAGTACCTAAAACTAAAAAACACAAAAAACCATTGTCATCACCAAGTTCTCTAAACCTATCATTTACTAATATTCGTGGTCTTCGAAGTAACTTTTCTTCTGTTGAGTCTTATCTCTTGCAAAGTTCACCAGACCTACTTGCTCTTTGTGAGACTAATTTGAGTTCGGCTGTCCCATCTTGTGATCTTAGTGTTGATGGTTATCTTCCTTTAATTCGTAAAGACTCCAATAATCACATGCTTGGCCTGGGCATCTACATTCGTAAGAACTCACCCATTTGTCGTGAAACTAGGTTTGAATCTACAGACTATTCATTTATGTGCTTTCGTTTAGCACAACTTCACTCTATCGCCTTTCTCTTTGTTCTATATCGCTCTCCTTCATCCCAAGACTGCACTATTCTTGATGTTATTTCTGATCAAATTGACCAAGCCCTCTCTCTTTATCCATCGGCCAATATCGTCGTTGTTGGTGACTTTAATGCCCATCACACCGATTGGCTTGGCTCTAGTGTCAGTGACTCTGCTGGCGTTAAGGCCCTCAACTTTTGCCTTTCTCAATCTCTAACTCAAATAGTCAACTTTCCAACTCGTTTTCCAGACAACCCTAATCATTTACCTTCTCTACTCGACTTATGTCTTGTTTTGGATCCTAGTCAGTGCTCAATTTCTCCACATTCACCCTTAGGTACTTCTGATCACGGTTTGATCTCTCTAAAACTATTATCAAATTCTTCTACTTCATCAGAATCCCCCTATCATCGTACCACATACAACTACCTTAAAGCTGACTGGGACTCTTTCCGTGATTTTCTTCGTGATGGCCCTTGGGTAGAAATCTTTCGTCTTCCTGCTGACAAATGTGCTTCTTACATAACTTCGTGGATTCAGGCTGGCATGGAATCTTTTATTCCCTCTCGACGATTCCAGGTCAAACCTCACTCTTCTCCTTGGTTTTCCTCACATTGCGCTGCAGCAATTTCTAATCGAAACCGTTACTTCCATATCTATCAGCAAAACAATTCTCCAGAAAACAGACATCTGTTCACTATCGCCAGAAACCATTGTAAAAAGGTTTTGTCTGACGCCAAAGCTCGCTATTCCCAGGTCATTAAATCTCGTATCTCATCACAAAAATTAGGCTCTCGAGACTTCTGGAGAATCTTTAACAGTATCAATAATAAGGGCAAATCTGTTATTCCTTCTCTCTTGTATGGTTCAGACTTTGTCACCTCACCTAAAGACAAAGCTGAATTGTTTGCTAAGAACTTTTCATCAATATCATCTCTTGATTCCACTAGTTGCGTTTTACCTGACATAGCCGTCAAACAGGTTGATCCCTTGCTTGACATTCGCATCACTTCAGCTTCTGTATCTAAAGTAATTTCCTGCTTAGACTCTTCAACAGCTTGTGGTCCTGACAACATTCCTGTTGTAGTTTTGCAGAGGTGTTCTCCGGAGCTTTCATCCATACTTTCTAAACTATTTAACAAGTGCTTATCAGAGTCTTGTTTTCCATCATGCTGGAAAGCAGCATCTGTTATCCCTATTTTCAAAAATTCCGGAGAGCGATCTGATTCATCTAACTACCGTCCCATTAGTCTTCTTCCTGTCATAAGCAAGGTTTTTGAATCTTTAATCAACAAACACTTAATCTCTCATCTTGAATCAAATAACTTACTCTCTGATCATCAATATGGATTTCGGTCTTCTCGTTCTACAGCTGATGTGCTAACAGTAATAACCGATAGGTTTTACCGTGCATTAGATAGAGGTGGAGAGGTTAAGGCTATCGCACTTGACATTTCTAAAGCTTTTGATAAAGTTTGGCATGCTGGTCTTCTCCATAAGCTTTCTTCTTATGGTGTAGCTGGTAACGTCTTTAAGATTATTGAGTCCTTTCTTTCCAATCGTAGTATAAAAGTTGTCCTCGATGGACAACACTCTTCTTCACATCCTGTAACTTCAGGGGTTCCTCAAGGTTCAATCCTTGGCCCTATACTCTTTTTAATTTACATTAACGATCTTCCAGATATTCTCACATCTAAGGTGGCATTATTCGCTGACGACACTACCATTTACTCTTGTCATGATAAGAAGCCTACACTCTCTGATTGCTTGGAGGGGGTATCTGAGCTTGAAAAAGATCTCACTTCTGCTATAGCATGGGGCTCACAGTGGCTGGTGAACTTTAATTCAGATAAAACTCAATTTTATTCGGCCAATCGTTATCGTAATAATTTAGATCTTCCTATATTTATGAATGGTAATGTACTAGATGAGTCATCTACCATTCATCTTCTAGGATTAACTCTTACTTCTGATCTTTCTTTTAAACCGTATATCAAATCCATTGCAAAATTAGCATCTGCAAAGGTTGCATCTCTTTATCGAGCTCGACACTTTCTTACTCCTGATTCTATTCTCTATCTCTATAAATCTCAAATCCGTCCCTGTATGGAATACTGTTGCCACATCTGGGGCGGATCTTCTAATGATGCTCTTTCTCTTTTAGACAAGGTGCAAAAACGAATTGTAAACATAGTTGGACCTGCTCTTGCAGCCAATCTCCAACCTTTGTCACATCGTCGTAATGTTGCTTCTCTTTCTCTTTTCTACAAATACTATAATGGGCACTGCTCTAAAGAGCTAGCGTCCCTTGTGCCATCTACTAAAATTCACTCTCGTGTTACTCGCCATTCAATTAAGTCTCATCCTTTTTCTGTGACTGTTCCTAAGTGCTTCAAAAACTCTTATTCTTCTAGTTTTTTTCCTCGAACATCAGTTCTTTGGAATTCGCTTCCTTCATCTTGCTTTCCTGATTCATATAATTTGCAATCTTTTAAGTCATCAGTCAATCGTTATCTTGCTCTACAGATTTAGTCTTTTCTCTTCCAGTAACTTCCAACTCTTATAGTGGTTGCTTGCAGCCTTGTTGGAAGTGAAGATGTTAAAAAAAAAAAAAAAAAAAAAAAAAAAAATTTTATCTTCAAAAAAAATGTCATTAGCTAGATATTTTCTAGAATTCAAAGAACCGTCGGTTAGTAATATACTAGCTGTCATGACCAGCTTGCAAATCGCCCTTTTCTATACTTCAATATTTTGTAGTGAGCTGTAGAAAAATAGCTATATACATATAGAAAAACTATACATATTGTTTCCTTCTTAAGGCAATGAAAAATAAAAATTTATATTATAATTAACCTTAATAAACGTTAAATGTTATGGTAAATCGCCGAATGGATATTATTACTTTTCTATATACCTGCTTGAAACGTGATCATCGGTATAAAAGTTTCACATGACCAATTTTCTAAATACTTTTTCTTTATATACATATCTTAGCTTTACGGACCAATAAAATTTGGGTCTTTACCGAAGCGACCATTTCTGTACTAATTTATCCCACGTAGATCATTTTTTACATTGATTGAATTATGATTATGAGATTATGAGATTAAATCAATAAATAATCATTAAAAACAACACACGATTCTCTGATTTGAGTTTTAGCGCTGCGCACGCATGTTAAATGACATGCGCAAACCTAGCGGAGGTAAACAAACCAAAAAGAATAAATCTAAAGGTAGTTTGGTTGTAAATGTCTGAATAGGATAACGAAGATACAGTTTTATCAAATCAAATGACTTTACAGGATTTCAAAATAATGTCTTTACCCAACGGGCATTCGAACATTTAATCAACGTTTAGTTAATGTTCGTTCTAAATGTTTAGATTTAATTTAGTTTCGATTTAGAACGTAGGTCAATCGAATGTTCCATTTTAACCATATCTAAATGGTTCGTTTTAAACGCTATTTAAACTCCATCTTTCGTTTAAAACTTCGCGACGTTAAATTTTATTTTACGGCGCTTATTTAAAGAAGCTTAAATAAATAAAAAATACCGATAAACGAATCAAACTCTTCTTTTATTTAAGCTGCTTTAAATAAGCACCGTAAAGAAAAGTTAAACGCTGAACGCAGTATCTAAATACTCATAAACAAATCAAACATTAAACAAATAATTTTTTATTTAAATAAGTTTAAGATACAAGTAAAATCATTTTATTTATTATTATATGTATTATCGTATTCCTCATTATGATCGGCTCCATAATGATCATCGTCATCTTTGTTTGAACCGATTAAGCCTCTTCGTTTTAAGAATTGGAAAAAAGGACATAACCTTTCCTATTTCCACCTATACGGAAGAGAGCCATTCTAAGATGGGAATCAATGCACGATACCGTATTGCGGATACCGAAGTCATACAATCTCTTTTCTAAAAATAATAAAAATAACTCAATAAACATCTTTATTCTATTCATATAAATCATTCATTTAACAACTTTATAAATCCATAGTTTCATAGATTATAGAAGATTGTACATTAGTACAGTGTACATTGAGTAACTATAGTAATAATTGATAGAGAACTTTTCTTTAAAACTCTGTAAAAAATATAATATTTATATAATAAAAACCTTATTAAAAAAACTTGCAGTTATCGCAGTTATGGGTTGATAAGTTGCATAACTGCAAGACAACTGCAGTGCTCTTCCTAAACATAGTAATACAATATTATAAAGTATTCTATTACTTTATAACAATATCTGTACAACATATATATATATATATATATATATATATATATATATATATATATATATATATATATATATATATATATATATATATATATATATATATATATATATATATATATATTAATTATTCACCTCTCCAAGGCCCGAGGGGGCCACTACATTCGAGGAGGCTACTCATTTTTTTTATATATACATTATATATATATATATATATATATATATATATGTATATATATATATATATGTATATATATATATATATGTATATATATATATATATATATATATATATATATATATATATATGTATATATATATATATATATATGTATATATATATATATATATGTATATATATATATATATATATATATATATATATATATATATATATATATATATATATATATATATATATATATATATATATATATATATATATATATATATATATATATATATATATATATATATATATATATATATATATGTATATATATATATATATGTATATATATATATATATATATATATATATATATATATATATATATATATATATATATATACATATATATATATAGTTTGATAACTCCCATTATTCATTGTCTTGAGGAGCAGTAGGCACACTCAGTATCCTGTTTGATTGAAACTTTCTATTTAATTGAAAAGTTGTGGAGAAATCTTTAAAGTTAAAAACTAAACAACAAACATAATAATTAAAACTTATATATCAAAATCATATATGTACTAACATGCAACTCAAGGTAAAAATTAAGTATTACTTGATCAATCCATTAGTTTGTGCTTTGATATAGTAGTCATGTGGATAATGGTATTTTAGAACTCAAATTTCGGGCTTACAGAAAAGAAGACTTTGCAAGTACTGATGGGTTAGCTACAATGTAAATAACTATATAGATATATTATGTATACAAAGTTATTTTAAATAAAAATTTACTAAAACAGTGTAAATTTGATTTTAAAAAGTCTATCCTAAAAGGCTTACATTGCTAAATATGTTCATAAGTCTTAAAATTAACAGGTTTATCTAAAAGTAAAAGAGTTCTATATAAAAGATATAAATTTTGACATCTTACTTGATTGGCCCATTCTACAGTCTTTTGGTATAGTAGTCACACTTGATTTGAATAAAGATAACTTAGAATGCAATTAAATGCTTGAGATAAGGTGGCTGTGGAGGTGGCGATGGTTTAACTAAAATGTAAATCCGAGTGTATATTGTTTGAGATATGTTCATTACAATTATTATTAGTCTTCAAAGATGTAAAGTACATACATACTTACATAATCAATTGAATATACTTGCGGTACCACATAAATAACCTTTTTGTATAATTAAACATTTGTAACTTTTTTTTTATACTTGAATGCATCTATGCTATATTATAATATAGCATGCATGAATAATGCATGCAAGTATTTTTGGAACTAAGGTCTTCACAAACTTTATTTCATGTTTATTGTAACATCAAATTAGCTAACCTGTCAATATTTGTACCTTTTGCATTAACATTCCACATAAAATTCTTCCTCAACTGAAAAATAAAAACTATTTTACTATACCATAAAAATGGTTAATCATTTACTAAATAAAACTTGCTTTATATATATATATATATATATATATATATATATATATATATATATATATATATATATATATATATATATATATATATATATATATATATATATATATAAATATATATATATATATATATATAATATTATTTGCTTTAACAAGCAATTTATTTAATTTTTAGTTTAATTTTTCCATAATCATTTCTACTGTTATTGCATTAGTAACTAGTAAACTAGTAATATTAACTCTGTAGAAATTGAAAAAAAAATTAATTTATATTAGAATAATGCACAATTATGGATTAATTATGTTATTATTTTCAGCTTATATATTATTAGTTTCTATATAAACATTAACAAATTAAAATGAAACCTTTAAAAGAGTTGTATAATCAGTACTTTTGCGCTTTTTTGTTATCTGCTAATTATCAATTTCTTCTTCAGTTTCTGATATTTAAAACTTTTGCAATCCTCATTGTCTGTAAAAGGAATAACAAAACATCTTATCCAAAGCAATGACAAATAAATTTAAAAAGTAAACTATTAAATATTTTGTGAATAAAAATTATAATATCACAAACTAAAATAACAACTCAATAAAATATCAAGCTTTTGGTTCTTCCAACCAAACAGCCTGGCAATATGGCATTTTGCTAAAATGTTAACACTAATTTGGTTGAAGGTACATCAACACATAACATTAATTTGTAAGTAAACTTAATAAGTTTACTTACAAATTAATAATAATTAAAAATAAGTTTAGTCGTCTAGTTTTTTAGTTTTTTTTGGTAACTTTAGTTTTCCTAATTCCAAGGGATGATATACATATACATACTATATATTTCAACCAGTAAAATTTCAAGCTTGGTAGGTCTTTCATAACATAATAAAATAAATGAAAAATAATGCAATAAATATTACAATAGCTTTTAGATATAGAGCATAAGATAAAAACAGAACAATTTGAATTCTCTTTTAACTAATTTAAACTTTAAAAACTCGAACCGATCATCAACATACCTTTCAAATATAACAGGAATTACCTTTAATCTTACATTATTTTTATACGTTGAATTTTTATAAATAACTTTTCATAAGCTTGAGCAATTAGATAATGATTTAAAAAGTAAACATCTGACAGATGATCAACTATTAGAATCATATCTAATATAACAGAATTTGCAGTTTATCTTGTGATTACTAAAAAAATAATTATTAGTTTTAAAAATCACTGCAGTTTTTATTTACAGAATGATCTTTACAGAAATAGCCATTACATTAATTATTATTTTAGGAAAATTTAAACTTTAAAGGAGTAAAAACGTCACAAAAAATCAATTTACCACTTGCATGTGTACTTGGTTGTTTCCTGCTGCTTTAATTGTTGTTGCAACTGACTGAACTGTATATAAAATATTAAATGAAATTAAACACGCAAAACTTAATTAACAATAAAAAATATATTTGCGTGGATTTCAGAAAATTATATAATATAGCTATATTATATATAGTATATATATATTATTGTTCAAGCCATGTTAATTTTTCTACTAAATAGAAAATAAATGATACAATATAATAATCTATCATATCAGACATAAGTAAGTTTATTTTCTCTTAAGTGGTTATCATATAGGAGTATAAATAATACTTAAATTTTTAAAAATATTTTTTAGTTTACACTAAAAGCCTACACTAAAACTAAAGCTCCATTATATAAATATTTGAACCTCACAATTTTTGATTGGCACTGTCTGCACTAAAAGTATAAATATTATAACATTGCTATTCGATCAATATAACATCTATCATAATTTATGAAAGATGTTATATTGATCTGTTTATGAAATAAACAAATAGATGTTAGTTCTTAATGTAAACAAAAATAATAATTTTGTTTAGTTATTTAAAAAGTAGTTACCATTTAAAATGCATAATTTTTCTCTAAAACTTTTAGAAAAAAATAATGCACTTTAAGTGGTAATTATTTTTCATAATTTTTCTACTTTTAGTAAAAGTAGAAAAATTAGGAAGCTAAGAGTTAACTATAGTCTATAGTTAACTCTTAGCTTCCTGATTTAACAACGCTCTATATTTCGTTAAGCGTTTTATGTATAAAATAAATTATTACTAATTATAAAAAAGAACTCGCAATAAATGTAAAATAGTAGAATGTAATAGACGTCTATAGTATAGACGTTCTATAGCGTTGTTAATAGGTACGTGAGTATCGCGTTTTACGGAACCGAATTTTGTGCTAAAATTCTGCTCCACGTTTTTCATAGTCTCTTAAAAGTTAGAGTGCTTGAGGAAGGTTTTGTAGAATAACTTTTTAGTATTCGTTATCAACATAGATTATTTTATAAATGAAGAATAGTTGAAGCATTAGTTCGATTGGTTTTTAATTATACTCACTTAATTTATTAACGAGTTTATTGATGTCAAAATTTTGGTTGTACTTCTGTGGTGAATTTAATGTCCAGGATGTAGTCTTTTTTTTTCTATCCATTTTTTTAATTAAATTTATTCATTTATCTATGCATCTGCCAATTGTCGTTGAAAAATATTTTGTAGCAGTCACCTTATTTCTTGCTGCACTTTTGTTACCTAATTTACATTTTACCTGATGTTGGCGTGGGAGACAGAGGAGTCTATTGATTGTTTTTATTTATATTTATTTTACATATATAGTATTCATATTAGCAATATTTGACTTATGTCATACTTATGTCATTGATATTGTAAACCTAGATATTTTATAATAAAAGTATAGTTAAAAAATTTGTACATTTAAAAGAAATTACTTTAATAAAATGATTTTTAGTAAATATTAAAATTAGACTTGGATTTTATATTTGATATAAAAATAAAATGGACGAAGAAAATAAAGGTTTCATCTAGTATTTCATATCATATTTATAATAAGAATTAGATGTGAATTAAATTATTGATGAATCATATCTAATTTGAAGATTGAACATTGTTTTTATTTAATAAGAAATATCTTTATGGATAAGTTGTTTCGATATAAATTTATTAAACCGTTTTTAAATTATCTGGCCACTATCTAAATCTTTATGTATAACTTAAATATTTCTTTTACTGTTTTAGATGCCCAAAGTTGTAGTGCAGCCAACAACATCAGTTAGTTACTTTCTGTATTCAATAGCTTAGTAGTTATTAAATAGATGCTATTATAATATATGTTCTATATATGTTCTATATATATATATATATATATATATATATATATATATATATATATATATATATATATATATATATATATATATATATATATATATATATATATATATATATATATATATTAGTTTTCTAATACATTTCTTTATTATGCCTGTGTAGATTGTTGTCTAACAATATTATTTCTTGTTAGTTGTATTTTTGTATACTTAATAATTACATTTTTTTTAAGTCTTTTTAACTGTTTTTTTTCTGTAGACAATTTAGAACAAACAATCAGTAAGTTAAGTTTGAATTGTTTTAGTTACTATATTAAAGTATTTTTATGCTGTGTTAGTATTCCTTGTTGAATAAATGTTTTGATTTAAATTTTTTTTTTAAAAGATTTAAGTTTAAGAAAAAAAATTGTTAAATGGTCAATTAATGTAGCACATAAAAACAGATTTACAAATCAACTGCATCGATGCAAAGTGAGAGATGAGATTTGCCAAAAACAAAAAATCAAGCGCCTAAAAATAGATGAAAAAGAAAAAAGAAAGTTTGAGCGTGAGTAAAAAAAGTTAATAAAAGAAAAAATAACTTTATTTACATCATTTCTTACTGGAAAGATGATGAAACTGATATTGGACCTGTTGACTATTGCATGAAAAAGATCCAGCTTGCTGCTGATGTTGTTTCCAGTGAGTTACAATTTAATTAACACTGCAAGTGTTGTGACTTGTTAAAAATATGTTGCAAGTGTTGTGACTTGCATAAATAATATTTATTTTGAAACAGGAAATTTGTTTATTAACCGAAGAAAATGGTTAGCTCGTTAACCATACTGTATGGCTCTGTTAATGTGAGAATCACACGAAAGATAGTAAGATAGATATTTGCTATACTTGGTTCTAAAGATGACATGTTTTTTAAAGCCAATTGACTTAATTATAGCCCCACAATAGTAGTTGTATAATTTTTTTAATAATTTATAACTAATTAAATAATAATATTAAGTTAGAGGGGGAAGGGGCATTAGAATGCCAATTTCTCCTTTAAAACATCATCAGCATATCTACTATGAGTTTTACATTCATCTTCCATATTTGATGGTTGTCTGATATGAATTTATTTTTTAATTTATTTCCAATTTAATAATTTCATTTTTAAATTTATTATTCAAATTTTGAAAACAGTAATTGTATTTATTTTTTAAAGATGGGTGGGGGGCGGCATACGCACTCCTGTAATAGAAACACCACTTGTAGACATAAGATCATATATAACATAATTTTATATTGTATACTAATTTTACACATTCCAGTAAAGATATAAATATAAAATCAAGTCGTTTTTGATACTAGGGTGTATAAAACTACCACCACCACACCCACCTCTATTGCTAACATACACCTCTCATATATTTTAATGGTTAAGTATAAATTTAAAACAATTAGTTTTAATATTTATATCGCTTATGTCTTTAAAAAAACTTTTTTTCTAAAAAAAGTGTTCAGTTTTGTACGGGGATGGTGGTGGTTTGGTGCCCCCTCTGTCCATCCGAAACGCCCAGTGGTTAGAGTTTAACATAAAGTTGTAGCCCACTCTTACACCTATCTTTTGACACTAAGATATTTGTTTTTCGATAAGAATTGACAAAGTTATGACAATTTAAGTAAAGAAAAACAATATTTTGACCACAGTTTCTTTAACAAATCCTAATATCGAAAAATCGGTACTTAAACCGTCATAACTTTTGAACCAATAGTTCGATTTTGATAATTTTTTCACCTTTAAAATACTGTAATAATCTTCTTTTTAATAATATATAACATTATAGTATTCAAACAATTTGAAAATTTTACTCACTTACCTATTGTTAAAAACCAAACAGAAAAAACAATTTAAGAAATAATTTAAAAAAATGCTTAAACTGATACATTTTTGAAACTGCTGCTACATTTTTGAAACTGCTATATTAGTAGCAATAACTAAAAGAATTATCAAAATACATAGTTACTGTACTTAAAATTACTTTTAATCGCTTATACAACATTATCGAAGAACTTACAGGACTTTTTAGCGGCTTCATTAGCCACAATATAATACTAAAAACAAATTTCTTTTATCTTTTTTAAACCATTTATTGCATATTTTAAGATTCATAAGAAATTCTAATTTTTAATCATAATGAAAGATTCAAAATGTCCGACACATTTTGTGCTAAACTAATTTAATTAAGTTAGTTCCGTACGGAAATCGTTTGATTTAGCTTTTCAACGCAAATTAAATATTCAGAACACGTTTAGAATAAGTTCCTAAACGTTTAGATCAACGTAAATGCCATCTAAACGTGATCTAAACCAATTTTAAACCAACAAATGCCCGTTGGGTATGTATATATATATATATATATATATATATATATATATATATATATATATATATATATATATATATATATATATATATATATATATATATATATATATGTAAATTATTAGTATTAATAGTGTTATTATACACTATATAGTGTTATATAGAATAATGCATAATAATAGTGTTATATTACACTATAATTTTAGTGTATTATAATAGTATTATAATACACTAGTGTATTATAACACTATTAATATTCATTATACCATAAAAAACTTTATAGTGTATTATAACACTATTAATACTAATAATTTACACAATATCTATATAATATTTTACTAATAATTTACACAATATCCATATAATACACTATAATTATAGTGTTATATAACACTATTATTATGAAAGAAGTAGTCTAGTTAATCTATACATAAAAGTTCTGTGCAATTACAGTTTTCTTTTTCTCTTCTTGTCCCGTGAACTTCGCAAATTTCCTTTCTCCATTTAATAAGTCTATATTGACCATTTTTACAACCTTTAACAGCACAATGAGTAGACATTCATATTTCTTTTATGACCTTCTCGCAGTATAACTCAAGTCAAATTATAAAAATAAATGTTTGTTTACCTCCGCTAGGTTTGCGCATGTCATTTAACATGCGTGCGCAGCGCCTATACTCAAATCAGAGAATCGTGTATTAAAATAAAAAGACTCAATTTAAATCATTATTTTTATTTGTCTGATTTAAATCATGATTTAAATTGAAACAACCCATTATATATTCTATCTTTCTGAGGCATAGGGACATTATTCTTGGTTTTATTAATTTTAAATTTAATATCTCTGGATATTTTTTTATAATTAGTTTACGTACAACAGTTAACAACTTTAAGCATATACATTAACTTTAGTTATAACTTAATTATTAATGATTTGATTTATAGATTTTTATAGCAATACAATATTGAATTTAGTAGAAGGCTAAATTTCTGCTCTGGAGACGAAAAAGGAAGACAGCGAAAATGAACAGCCAAAATAAAGATTAAAGAGACAAAAGGTTGTGTATATCTTGGTGTAGATAATTTATCCTCAACTTCTTATAATAAAACAAAAAATATATATAATAATTGATTGAATTATGAGATTAAATCAATAAATAATCATTAAAAACAATTAAAATAAAAAGACTCAATTTAAATTATTATTTTTATTTGTCTGATTTAAATCATGATTTAAATCGAAACAACCCTTTATTATAAAGGGTTGTTTGTATATAAAGTTTATATATTTTATCTTTCTGAGGCAGAGGGACATTATTTTTGATTTTATTATTTTTAAGTTTAACATCTCTGGATATTTTTTTATAATTAGTTTGCGTACAACAGTTAACAACTTTAAGCTTATACATTAACTTTAGTTATAACTTAATTATTAATGGTTCGATTTATAGATTTTTATAACAATACAAGATTGAATTTAGCAGAAGGCTAAACTTCTGCTCTGGAGACAAAAAAGGAAGACAGCGAAAATGACCAGCCAAAATAAAGATTTAAGAGACATAAAATTGTGTATATCTTGGTGTAGATGATTTATCCTCCATTTCTTATAATAAAACAAAAAATAATATTAAACTTTGGGATTTACCGGTAACTCCAAACTTTTTACAGAAGTTCAATGTTTGCTCTGAGAAGTTGAATGAACAAAATTTATTAAATGGTAAGTTTTTATATAAAAGTGTCTAATGATTAAAAATCTTAATTCATTTCTTTAACTTTTTCAATTTTAAAGACTTTTTCATATATTACAGTCAAAAAGATAAAGTGTTAATTAACATTTTATTGTGTAATGATCAACATATCAAAGCTTACACCACAGTCTTGGTCCAGAAGTGGGAGCGATTGCTCTAGAATACTAACCACAGAAATTATCTTTAGTTGCAAAAAATTGGCCAGACTTTTTAGTTGTTTTGAGAACATTTAAGTTTATGAGCGTAACAAAAAAGCTTTGTTAGATTTCAAAGTTGGTGTCACCAACTTTGAAATTAATTTGAAATTAGCTGTTGAAAAAAAAAACAGAGTATTCATATCTATTTAAAGTTTTAACAGTTGCTGGTGGTTCATTATTATTCATTATATAAACCTTTATATAAATTTATCTAATAGACGAAGGTAATACAATATTTTTATAGATGATATTATTTTTAAAAATTGTATTATTAAAATTCAGAACTAAAATATGTAAAAAAAATTATTTACAAACATTGTACAAGGTCTGTACTGTACCTGGAAAATCTGGAAAATATGTTTTATATTGGTCAAAGTGTTGGAAAAACTGGAAAAGTCAGGGAATTTTTTTTTAGATAGTCATGGAAAAGTCAGTAATTCAAGTTTAGAAGTTACTTGTTTCACAATTGAACGCTGTATTTTGAAAACATAACGAGTCACACTTTTTTTAAAAGAGAGGTTATTTGAAAAGAATTTTTTTTTTAGGAAAAGATAAAATTATAAGTTAAAATGAAGATTTTCTAGATAAAATAAAGATTTTTTTTTGATAAAAGAAACAATTTTTATATAAAATAAAAATAAAATTTTTTATAGGAGAAATGTTTTTTACTCTCCTGTAAAATTTTAATTATGTGACATTTTCAAAATACAGTGCTTAATTAAGCTATTATGTTTTTTTTGGTGCTACCCATTTATTTTTTTCTGAACTTATGTTTTTCTTAGTGTTTATTTTTAGTCATCCTTAATAAGATCCATACTAACATGTATAAAAAGATCCATACTAATATCCAAATTAACTAATAGCTAAGTTTTATAAGTTTTGTCATTCAAAGCATGTATAATCTTAGCATTTTGATTACAGTAGATAGTAATTGTAAACATTTTGTAAAAACCGTTGTTGAAAATAGTCTAGGAAATTCATCTGATTTTTCAAGAAAGTCATTGAATTTTATTTGAACTATAATTGTTTTGTGTCAGTCCTAGAAATTGAATACACACCTGCAAATTTCATAATTCATAAAAATATTATGAATCTATAGCAAGTATATATTTTTATCATTAAAAAAATTGCCCCTCTTATTTAATTTTATCTATTTTATTAGTGATTGTTGTATTTACTTTCATAAATTCTAAATATAATATGTAATTAGTTGTATAATTTCTTAATAATAAAATTAACTTTATTGTTTCAAGATAAAGTTGTATCCTTTAAAGATATGCTGGTATTATTGGCACAATGGGCAAGCATTGAAGTACAACTTGTTGAACTACAAAATACATAAAATTCAGTTATAAAAATTTGAGTAACAAAGGTATGCCAATTATTCTATTGCCTGAAAGAGTATCATTGCTATTCAAAGCAGTGAAGAAGTCAAGTACTCTGGAAGAAAAAAGACCAAAAAACACCTAAGTAAATGGTAAATATTTTTTTATGATCTGTTTATGCATTTTGTATGATATCTTAGTACAATTTATATACTTTAAATAAAATACTCTTTGAAGATTTTTTGTAAATGACATTTTATATTAATTTAAGTCTAAACAAAAGTTACTTTAATTATTGCCAGGTTGTGTATTTTTGTAGGTCAATTATTTGGCACAAATTGGAGTTAAAGACAAAGGAGATTGTATATGTTATTTATTAAGAATAGTTTTTTAAAATGGCCTAGCTTTAAAATTAAATTATGCAGGGAGAAGACAAAAAATTGAAATAGTAAAAATGTTGCTTGCATATGTTGCTCTTGGTAAGTGGTTTAGAAAAGTTTATTTTTTCAGTTTCAATTTTGCATTACAGAATTACTTTCAATTTGTTATGTTTCTTTGGTGCATAATTAAACAAACAACTATTTTTTTATTTTTTTTGCAGAAACTGTGAAGTCAAATAAGAATGGCTAGAGCAGACATGTGATAAAGATAGTGGAAGAAAAAACAATAATCGTGGGCACGAAATATTATAAGCTAAACACGATTCAATAACAAGTAGCTCAGCCAATCTATAAATTTTATAGTGAATTTTTTTATTTAAATCTCAATGTGTCAGTTTTTGGTTTAAGTTTGGTGTTTGCAATATGTATATTTAACCGAGAAATTATGTTAAATAAATAGATTTTATACTTGTATCATACATTCTTTCTTTTCTCTCTAAATTTTCAAATCATCTTATTTGTAACAACGATCTAATGTTGCATAAAATGTTAGGCCGATATATAACATACGATATTTGGCCAATGTTGTATACAACGTTAGGCCAATTTTGTATACAACGTTGGGCCAATGTTGTATACAACGTTGGCCTAACGTTATATACGACGTTGGGCCAATCTTGGGTAAACGTTGTATACAACATTGGGCCAATGTTGTACACAACGTTGGGCCAATACCTAACCAATGATCAAACCTTTATTGGGCCAACATCAACTTTCAATGTTGGGCCGATGCATCATGCATTGGCCCAACGCTGGTCCAATGTAAGCTTGCTGTCTGGGATAGTCCCCCCTAGCCCACCCACCCCTCCTTGATCCGGCACTGCTGATTGCTAATTATAGAGCTTGAAGTTTACATATGTAGATATTTGCATTGACTATCGTTCACATAGATAAAATACAAATCATTACGATTGTGGTTCCAAAAAAGGTTAATACGCTACCTTCAAAAGGTTAATACCTTCATAAGGTTAACACTACCTTCAAAGGTTAATACACTACCGTCCATTATTGTTCTAATGGTCATATTTTTTATATAAGATGTCAAAGTTGGGATAATAGCTGAAAACAATATTTAACTGAATTATTTTATCTTCCTATTTATTAGGTTAACAAATAAAATTACCCTGATTAGTTTATAATTCATAAAAAACCCTGATTAGTTCATAATTTACTTGTCTATTAATCACCCTTAGCAACAATAACTGCCATATATATTCTTGGCATTCTATTTAACGACTTATATAATTAGTCAATTTTATGTAACTAAGTATTTTCGAAAAAGAAAAAATACACTACATATATTATGTGTGCATCAATTTATTTATACATAATAACAAAAGAAAATATATAAAAAGTTTTATTTACAAAAAAAACTAAACTACAACAGCATCAACTAACAATCGTTAGATTAACTACAAAAATCCTAATTATAGACATAGCATGTTTTCCCAACGCTCCCTCTTCTCATATTTTATTTTTTACAGGATCTAAACTCCTTTTCAAAAATGGAAAAAAAACTTTAATCGAGTTTTTTTAAAAACATTTTGTTTACTGTGTTCAAAAAAAAGTTTAGGTTGTCGCGTGCCAAGCTTGCTATTTTTTATATATTTTAAAAATATATAAATTTTTTTTTTTTTTTAAAAATTTTAATTTTTAAAACTTTTTTAAAAAAAAAAATTTCATTATTCTTTTTTAATGTGTTTTATTTTGAGTTTTAAAAAATTTAATAAAATAAAAGGGTTTTAACGATAATGAATAACAAATAAAAGTGTTCTAACGACTCGAACTGGATCTCCACCTCCGTATGTCGACGCGCTAACCGTTCGGCCATGTTAACACAGACATTAAGTACAGTTTAAAATTACTATAAAATCAAAAGACTTTATAAAACGGGAATAAATGATACAGATCAAAATTAAAAAGATATTGTCGCAATGCGGGTAAAACTGTAAAACTTAATATTACATATTTATTATTACAAAACTTGGTATTACATAAATAATAAAAATACACTAAACATACAGTTTCGTTCAAAGATACACCTTCGTTTAAAGATTCGTTTTCTTATAAAACAAAGCTGCTGCAACTCTTTCTCGCCATTACCTCGTTTGCAATGGCTACCAAGAGTTTTGTGTAAAAAGGCTCGAAAGGGCACTACTACTACCGTGTCACATGATAGAGCCGAAAATATTTATCCTCGAAAATATCACCGAAATATTTCACAACCGAAAATTTTAGAACCGAAAAGTATATTTTCATTGCAGGATCGAATTACAAAATCCTTTCTTGCGCCGAAAGTTTTTAAACCGAATTTTACAACCGAAAAAATTTGGATCGAATTATAAAATCCTTTCTTTTTCACCTAACGTCAAATAGCCTGCTGCTGGGGGCTTCAGTACATACATCGACTGGCAAATAGCCTGACTTGCAGTGGAGTGCTGCTACATCGACTGAGGGTTTGGTATGGGTCAACAACCTTTTTAATTCATTATTTTTCGTTTTTCCTATTCGTTTTCTAAAATATACAATGTTTGATAACAGTGTAACTTTCGGTTGTAAACCATTTTAATGAAGTTCGGTTCTAAAATCATTAATGGCTTTCGATCGAAAATTCGATCGAAATTTTTTCGGTTCTAAAATTATTAATGATTTTTGATCGAAAATTCGATTGAAATTTTTTCGGTTCTAATTTTTTCGTAAATATTTTCGGTTGTGTAATAAATTTCTCATATTCGGTTATAAATTGAAATTAGGGATTCGGTTGAATCATAAGACGCCACTACTACTAACACTATTAAGTTCAGTGTTATTAATTAGATTTGAGCTGTGACCGGTAATTCAACGAGTGTACCAAGTGAATTAGAAAGCTGTATCATTATTCAACATAGTTACATTAGTTTAAATTCATATGTCAAGTTTAGCTTTGAAAAAATTCACAAAAATAGCATCAATAACGACATCAGTAGGTAGCCGATTCCCGTAAAAAAAATGCTCTGTTTGTTAAAAAATAATCCTGAGGCAAAAAACTGGTTATTTCGCGATTATATTGTAATTGGTGACCTCTTGCTGATTTATAATTTCTTGGCAAAATTTCATTAATTAAACTTTTAAAATTTCAATTCCATTCAGTGGAATTTGAATAACTTATACATATGTATAAGTTATTCAATGGATTCAAATATTTGAATCAAGTCATCCCATATCCGTCTTACTTCTAAACTAGTGAAACCCATTTTTTCTAAACTTTTCTCATAACATAGTTATTTTTAGTGGCGATATTCTTGTAGCGCGATGTTGTACCTTTTCTAAGAGATTAATTTCATTTTTAAGACATGGAGACCACACAGATACAATTCAATTAACCCGGTGGGAAATGAGCTAGCGACTAGCTAGCTCTATAGCGATTTTCTAGCGATTTTTTTTTTCTTATTTTATTTTTTGCAAATGTCTTTAACATCTTTAAAAATTCGATTTTTAGTGTTGAGTCTAACTATGTCATAACTATGAAAGTCATAACTATGAAAATAATTGAACTTTAAACATTGCGATTTTGTAGCAATATGTCGCTAGCTACATATCATAGCTTTGTAGCTAGCTACAAAATATCTACAAATCTATATCTGTTTTTACATCTGTAATACTTATCAACATTTTACAATATTACTGCTAACTGTCTAATTCGTTAATTATCCGTGAATGACCGAAATTTAGAGTATTTAAAAATTTCACTAATTTTTATAAAAAAAGTTGTTATTTAAAATTTTTTTTTTTTTTTTTTTTGTAAATATAATTAATTTGGTGATTCTTAATAATACTAATAAATATGATCATTTATTTTAATAATTTGCTTGTTTTAGATTTTAATAGTATGCATTTTATCAAACTGTTGTTTTGCTAATAAATAATTTCAGCCGAACTTAGACGATTTGACGGTACAGAGAATTAAAAGTCTTTTTTAGTTTTATTTATATATATATATATATATATATATATATATATATATATATATATATATATATATATATATATATATATATATATATATATATATATATATATATATATATATATATATATATATATATATATATATTTATTTATATAAATAGGCTATACTTTTTTTGTTTTTTTTTTATATATCGCCTATAATGAATAGCCTATGAATATTAATAGTGCGCATAGTTACGCGTATTGTTTTATAGTTACGGTACGGTTCTGTATCTGTAAAATACACTTTTTAAGTAGTTTCTAAACTTTTCTTTACCGCGTGCTTACTTACAGATTTCCCTTCAACCTTTCATGGTACGAGTTCAAAATATCTAAGTTGACATTAAGTAGATAATGTTTAGTAGCTTAAAATTAAAGGTAATCTAAATTTTTTTTTTAATTTAAAAGTAATTAATTTATTGTAATCTTTTTTAAATTGTAATTTTAAATTTAAAGCTTCGTGTTATAGATTACTTTAATTCTTAATTTGTGTCTAGCGTTAAAATATATTTATGGGTAGTTTCATGCTTTCACTTAGTTTTGGTTATTGGGATAAAAGCCATGACAACATTTTGTTATAAATTTATCTTAATTTAATTTTTATTGAAAATTTTGTTATAAATAAAATTTGTCTTTAATATTGTTAATACTTTAGCTCTTTGAAAAAAAATATGTTTCTGGCTCTTCAATAAATATAAAATTATTTGTCTTGCATGAATGAATTTTGGTTTAGGATTTAATTGTGTTAGTTTATGTTTGTCTATCTGTAATTTATTTAGGTTATTAGAAAATTTATGTTTACAGAGTTGTTATAAATCATAATCGAGTTGTTAAACCAAGGAAATTGTGGAGGTTTATTTATCATATATACTATATATATTATATAATTATATTGAAGGGAGTAAGTTTAGAAGTCTTTTTAAATTTTTAAAAAGAAATAAAAATACTTTTCAATATATATCTGTTTTCTTTGAGGTAGAATTAAAGTTTCAGTTTTTTAAAACTTTAAATTAACTTAACAATGTTAAAATGGTTTAAACGGATTTTTGTAAATGAATTTAATCCTCAAAGATTAAATTTTTTTTATTATTGAAGAAATTAAACTAGATTTAAGAATAAGTCGACTTAAATGTTTGTTTGTTTTTCTATTTAGATGATGACAATATTGAAGCAAGTAAGTTAAAAAGCATTTTTAAATTTTTAAAAAGAAATAAAAATACTTTTCAATATATCTCTGTTTTCTTTGAGGTAGATTTAAAGTTTCAGTTTTTTAAAATCATATATATTTTAAAATCCTATATATAACTCATATATCTTTGTTTTTCTATTTAGACGTTGGTAATAATATGAAACAAGTAAGTTATAAAGCATTTTAAAATTTTTAAAAAGAAATAAAAA